AGGAAATGAAAACCACTCAAAGAAAATATTAATAATATACATAGTTTATTAATAAACAGCTTGTGTATATATACAACTGTATATATTTACAGGTCCCTGTATTAAAAAAAATAAAATAAAGAATAATAAATAATTTGTTTTATAAATTACAATTGACCACATTGTTTAAATACAGTCTAATGACATCCTTAAAATAAATACACAGAAAGACAGACAAAAATAAAAAAGTGAGTATTAAAAAATGATAAAATAGAAGAAAGGGACCTTAATCGTTCGTTAAAATTATTCGGCATATTTAACAAAATAGCTTACACAAAGTACTCTCAAAAATACATCATTAGGGTAGAAAATTTCATATATTACAAATCATAAAACTACCATTTTGACATATTAAGATAACTATATACAAAATAAGTTTTAAAAGATTTGGTCACTTTAAAGATAATAAACTTAACTATTCATGAGAAATTATAAAATTTTCTATACAGTTAGAACAATAGTACATTAACATAAAATATGTTTTCAGTCTAACATATACATTTTCGTTACAACCATAGTCTGAAATAAATTATGTTCTTTCTTATTTGTACCATACAAAACTATAAAATAAAATTATAAAGGTGAGTCTATATAAATCAAACTTTTTTAGATTAAATATCTCTATTTTATTTTTTTTTCAATAGAAAGATAATTTGTTTTTATTTGAAAAACATTATGAAGCATCAAACTAATTTTTTTTTACAGTTAAAATAAAGTACATTGTATGTTCTTACATGATTTTAGAGGTAAGCTAGTGATATGTATTTTCGGAAGTAAGAAAAGAATATGTCACACAAACTTCTCTTCAAAAAAATTAAGATATGTGAAAATAAACTTTAAATACCCTTAAACACATGGTTTGTACAATCTTAAAAGTAAAACTATACATACCCCAGTAAGAGTATATATGGATATTAAGCACAAATAAATTGTACATACATAAATCTGATCATTTGTTTTATTTTTTTTTAATTCTGAAGAATTCCATAAGTCCTCAAACATGTAACTTTCTATAAATTCAATTTATTTTTCAAAAAACTTTGAAGTTTGATGTATAAAGATTCGACCATATGTATACCTAATCTGCTCTCTTACCATTTATGCTGAATTATTTCTTTTATTTTTAATCTAGTCTTTATACCTAGCCGAAGATAAGGAGATAGCTGATTCCATGAATACTCAAAAGTTTTAAAAAATGTTTCTAGAGTTTTTAAAAAATTAAACTTTTAAGAAAGCTCATGAAATTACTCTTTTGTTGTAATTAAAAGAAAATATGTCAAAGAAAAAAATATATATATTTTTGCCAATAGTGTAGGGAGAAAAAGTGTAGTTTTTTTTAATTACAGACATCATTAATGGAGTCATCTTTTTTTTTTTTTAATCATAAACAATTTTCTCTATTTTCATTTTTTCTAACTTTTTTTTTGATTTGTTAAACGAATAAATAAATATTAATTTTAAAATTAAATTGTGTACATAAAAATGTTATAAGTAAAATTTTAATTTGAATGAGAGAAATTCATATGGAATGGAGATTTCACATAAATGGAAGGAATAGTTATATACAAACTATATGTATGATACATGTATTATACGAGCAGTGTTAATTTTTTTTTTTAGATTATCATCCAAAGAATGATTCTTAAAACACAAGTTTTAAACTTATTATTCATGAGGCTTGATATTTCACTCAAATGAAAAGATTTTCATGATAAATTAAAAATCCTATATGGTTTTATATTATAAACACAAAAAAAAAATTGTATCGATTTTCAACATGGAATTTACTTTTTCCTTAAATAAACCTGATTTTAATGAACATTATTTTTCATATACTGAATAAGAAAGCTTAAGTTTGATTCAAATGTTTAGTCTATATCTACAAAGATTGATTATGTGAGTTTAATTTTTCATCTTAATTGAAAATAACTTGAAATAAATAATTAAATATAGCAAAGGGAAGAGAGAATGGTAATAACTAAATCTTGATAAAAATCAACTCAGTGGTGTCAAAATTAAATATAGGAAGAATATGCGCTAACACAAACACTAAAATGCAAAAGGCGTTATAAGACTGATAATAAATTAAAGAAAAGAAAAAAAGAACCCTGATTTCATTTTACAAGCAGACCACACACAATCAACAGATAAGAGTAGCTATGCACATGAAAACCTATATTTACATGTTACAAACAACTTTCTGATGGGAAAAAAATATTACAATTATTTGTACATTACACTTTAGCATAGGTTATTTCTGTAGATATTATTTGAAAATGTAATAAATTATCTCAACAGTTTTATAAGCCAGTCATAAATGTTGTGAAGAAAGTAAAGAATAAAAATGTTTCATATTTTTTAATTTTTTTTTTTTATATTTTTATAAAATGAAAAGGCACAGTGATTTGGTTTTGAGCTCTTGCACACATTTATTTAACTAAGTGCCTAAAAATAGACACTAAACAAGTCTCTCTCTGTCCTCCAAATTGAAACTTTGGGAATGTTTGATTTTTCCATGAAGAACATGGTTCTCAACTGTCAAGTAACGAGATGGTGAATATGAGAACCGAATCTTAGTTGCGTTCCACACTTATCTTGTGAACCTGAACATTAAAAGTAAAACAATAATGAAATATGAGTAATAATGAGATATATAAGCAGTATAAATATATTTATAGCAATGTTTGTTTTATAGACCTTATAATGTTATAAATTTTAGTACATAAACAAAAATCATTTAATAATATGGTGACTGGACAAAAGATCATGTGATCGCATTGTAGATGAAATTCCGAAAATAGTCGAGGTACTTTGAAAGTAGTCCTTAAGAGAGTCTGAATGTGGTCATTGGTAACCGATCCCTAAATATTTATTAATCATTTTGCATCCCCAAGATCATTTAAAATCTCATCTCACTCATTAGGATCATTAATGGTAATTAAAATTATTATTGCTTCAATTCTACCACAGTTGTCAGACTTTCACTCGCTCAAGATATAAACAAAGCTATAATGAATATTTTTCAGTTTTTATCAAATACTTTATTGTTTATCAATGTCCACTATGTTCATGGCAGGGACCCTTGTTTAATGAAGCCCCAAAAAGACATGTTGGCGATCAGAAAATCTTTTGAGGCATGATATAATTATAGTAGTCGGTAATGATTTTAATAACTACTTATTATCCTAATTAGTCTCTATTAAAATGTTGGCAATAATAAGCAGTCGATCATATGTTCTATTGTTTCATTATAATACATGATGTAACATTTCTTACCAGTTTGTTTGTCTATATAAAGAAATTTCAGACACACTGGGCTACTAAATAAACTCCATCTATACATCTACTGATTAATGTGATCTTATGCCTATTCATCGTACGGCTCACTGTTTTCTTCAAAATATCTAACTTTCTCAAATAGCAATAATTCCCAGTTTTCGAGAAGACTTTTTACTTTACATCAATGGTCATAAATTATTTTTTGTTTCACTCACTTATCTTATTACTATGATTCTATTATAGCATTGGATAGTATTATTTCATGAAGATATTTTCAAGAAGAAATAAATCATACCCGAAACTTTGAACAATTATTGATAGCTGAGCTATTATAGAAAAGGGTGGCAGAACAGACTTTAGTTCTAGAACAACATATAGTTATGTAATTCAAAATGGAAACAATGATGTAAAATAAAATGTCATTTTATACCGAATACCTTAAATCTTCATTTTAATTTGATAGTTGAATGAATATCAAACAAGTATTTTTAGACAACACATTGTTATTAAATTTCTCTGAGATATTTAGCACTTTAAATAAAAAAACATAGCATCATAGGTTGGCCAACTCTTGTCTTCAACAGGGATAGTAAACAAAATAATTGAATGCAAATTAATGCTCTGAAAACATATTCTATTTAATTAGAGAAGATTGATTTCAAAACCAGCTCAAACCACTTTTCATACAAAATATTTTATTTTTTATTTTTACATAATCTGAAATGTTCTATCATGAATGATAAATATTCAGGACACAGTCATTATAAGGTTTTTATTAGTGCCGTTTCAACCCAAGTACTTGAATATCTTCAGTGCTCGAACCACGCTAATGGTGACTCACATGTTTGGGTTGAAACGTCGGCACTAATTAAAAACCTTATAATGACTGCGTCCTGAATATTTATCACTCATGATATGTACAACAGTCGACAAACTTCCTTCAATGAAATGTTCTATATTACCTAGAAAAACTATATTGACTAAATGGGTATCAATACTGTAAAAATAAATCGATTCAGTGGTTTTGAAATCTCTGATAAAATTTTGAAAAACATACAGAACCAAATTTGAAACTAATTATCATATATCGTATATAGTAATTAATAACGGAATTCTGTCAAAAATATCCTAATGATGTGATAAAATGAATTAATGACATGACAGAGTACTATTAAAAAAAGTAAAACTCTATAGTTAATTTAAAAATGTTAATAGTCATAAAATATTCTACTGGAATTAAAATATCATTTGTTAAAGAGATTAATACAGAATAAAACTTAAAATAGTTTAATATTGCAAAACTTCTGATCTGATAAAACATGCATATGGTTTAACAGTGCAAATTAATACAGCAAAAAACCTCAACCAGAATTTTTATTAGTACCTATGAAACAGTACCTAAACCACCCAGAAGCTTTTCATAAGATGGAGATAAATTTACAAGAACATCCATAAATCAGCTAACTTATAAATTACATTCCATAATGGAATGAATTCGAATGTATATTATACTCTGTCCAAGTATATGTTCTATGAAACCTGTTTGCTTATTGAATGGTGGATTTAGAAAGGAAAACTAATATTTTTTTTACTTATAAAGTAAATAATAAAACAAAAAGAAAATAATAAAATGAATGATTATAAAAATTCCTCTATGTCCCATAACCGAACAGACCTGCTTCCTATCCCTGGTACATTGGCGGATTTTGGTGATCATACTCCTCGTACTCTTCATCCCCTCCATCATCATAATCAGTGTCATCTGTATTTTCACTTGATTCAACAGATGGTGGTAGTGGAGGATCCGTTACTTCCTGGACTGGTTCCTGCAATTTGTTAGTAACACACTAAGACTCAAACGTTAGTGACATTCCATTAAATAGAAAAAAAAAATCTACATAACACTTTAAACTTCAAATATTAAACAAAATAAAATGTATTTTGTAATTAAAAATGATGGATGTTCAAGTATAATTAGTAAGTTATGATGAAGTTAATGTTAGTCATAAATTAATAAAGAATATTCATGTTAATTACTCTTGATAATGTTGTAATAGACTTTATTAATAAAAAGTTTTATTTTGAAATATTATTTTACTATGCAATACTTTGGTCTATTTTATTAGTCATTTTCAAACAACTAAAGTTATAATTAAATAAATATTTTTACAAAATCACATTTTCTTCCTTTGTCCCATTTTTGCCTGTTATTTATTTTGATAAAAGCATTTTTCATTCTCATTTTCTTTAACAATCTTTCGAAAATTTTCACCAACTTCATTGGAAAATATTGCAAAAATTTGCAACTAAATAAGTGAATGTTTAAGATATGGTATTTTCTGATAGCATAAATGAAAGCTTTTAAAAAATTGGGTATTAAAGAAAATGAAAATGAGATATTATGGAACATGAATGTGGCAAAAACATTTACAAAATTTAAATTTTGTAAAAAATCTTCATTTTATTTTTAATTATTAGTATGTAATGCCTTAATTGATATAATATGTATTTTGAATAGTTTGACTAATTTTTTATTGTTCAATTGTAAAAATTGTTTAAAAATGACAAATGTTACAAAGGGCAAGTTTCTAAACTTACAACTAATTCCAGTGGACTTTAAGATTTATGCTGAGTTTAGAAATGAACTGCTGGATTTCAGTGGAAAGTTACAAAAAATATTTAAGAAAAAAGAAAAGGATATTTCTGGTCCTTCCCTTCCTCGTCTTTAAGGCTATACAGTATTTTTCCGGGCCAGAGAGCGAGGGCAACGAGGGCAGGGATCGTGACTATTTTTATCTAGTAATCTCATGTATCAGGTTGCCAGGTAATGCGGTGCTGTGCCCATTCGGCTACTCTGCCCACAATATAGATACTAAGTAAACCGGATATAAATCTGTAAATTGAATGAAGAATAGTAACATTGAGGTTATATTGAGATTATATCCAATGGATCTATTAACCCCAAAAGACGACGGAACCGCTGATCAATCAGTTGTTCAATTGCTGAATAAAGGAACCTTCTGAATTCCATCCATGGTTTCCGTCAATGAGTTCAAGAACTTGCCCAAAATAAAATAATATTTCAAAATAAAATATTTTTATTAATAAAATGAGTTGTGAGAATGTAGTGGTCTATTTAAAATCTTATTTTAATTTGATTAGTGCAAACAAATTATTAAAATTTATTGTAATTTTAGAAATGGTTTAAATTTAATTACTTCTTCAGATGTGATACTCTTCATGCACAACGACTACAATACACCACTAACCAAAATAATGATTGCATTAAATGGTAGTAAAAATATTTAATTTGTTGGTTATATTAATTAATAGAGGCTATATACAAAGAGAATGAAAAGAGTCACAGAACTGTACATATAGAAATCTGTGCATGCAATCAGTTGCCCACCTTCGGAGGCCGCCAACCACAGCCTGGTAGCGGAAGGCCATCCTGGCCGATTGGACATGGTGCATCGAGGCCGGGAACTCCCTGGTCACCTTTATCTCCTCGGTCACCTTTCCTGCCTCTCTTTCCTATAGGACCCTGTAAGTGGAAAACAATATACATTATTGAATAGGCCTAGGCTGTGCTTTTGCAAAAGGGTTTTAGGGTTTCTAAAGTTCAATAAACTACTGGTTTGAAAAATATTTAAAAAAAAAGAAAGATTCATTTTAACTGAAATTGCTGCATTTATACTGAACGAAGAATAATTCATTTAATAACTATGCCATTTTAATTTAGTACATTACAAAAATAATATCTATGTATCAGATGGTTTAATTAATTAAACATTATGTGGTTATAATTTTACATTTCAAAATAAAATTTTTTTTCATGAATTGAGAATGATTATAGTTTTTAAGGCATTAAATGAAAACTTGCAGTAAATGGCCTTTTATTTTATCTTATCCATGACAATGATTCATTTAAAGTGAATTGTTTGCACTTTAGGAGTAGAGTTTGTTAGTTCCTGTAATAATTTTTGGAGTATTATCTCCCATTCCTCTCAGCTAACTGAAGTTTTCCTAGGAAAAAAAAGCATTGAAAAAACTAAGATCATTGCTTTAGACCATGTGATATAAGTGAAAATATCAACAAAGCGAGATTAATAATATGAAATATAAATTAATAATAATAGCTCATTACAAAGAAGATGAAATGATGAACTCGCTTACAGTATACAGGTTCGATTTTTAGCATCAGAAATATTTTAATCCATATGTACAACGAACATCGTCATCATTTGGTTTTCAACACTATTTTTTCCTTTTCGCCTCCTTGACGGTTCCGAATTAAGATGCAATTTTGAATTATAGTCTATTACAGAGAGGATGGAATGCTGAACAATTTACTTGCTTACAGTGTGCAGGCCTGATTTTTAGTTTCTAAGATATTTTAATTCATATGCAAAAACACTTCAATTAGTCGACTTTAACCTGAGCATTAAAAATTGGGAAATCTGACAGATCAATCTAATTCACTCTCCACAAAAAAGTACAAAACTTTAGCGCCTAAAGGAATTTTCAAAAAAAAAAAAAAAAAATTAGCTATTGAATATACAATTATAATCACTGAAAAACATTCTAAACTCCTAGTTATTAAATACACATCGATCAGTTTATTGCAAAAAATTGCTAGGTACACTTTTGCTAGAAATAAACTTTACAGATATACATATTTGTGAATTTTGATCATATTCATTGGTTCAATGTTTTGATTCCACAGATTGAAAATTCATCAAATTAATTAGTCATTTAATTTTCTAAAATGCTACTTAATGACTTTTTGCAATAAACCGACAACATGTAACTGACTATACCTTGGTATATTAAGACAAAGTACCAAGAGTTGGTGTTCAACTCAATCTATCAAATTTCATCTGCTTCAAATCTCTAAAGTCTAATACAACCGTAAATCTAACATTATATATCAAATAAAATTTTCCACAAATACTTTGTCTCAAATGTTGCAAACTAGACAAGTAGTACAAGTATACAACAACCATATTAATCTCTATATTTATTGAAACCTATTAGAATATGATTTTTAACAAAACATAAATTATTCCCTGAGATATTAGCAACGAAAATGAGTGCTATTTCATTGGAATACAACCAATGGATAGTTTTAAAATCTTATATTTCATAATAAGCAAATTTACTTGTACCTTGTAAAAACATTACTGAATTTCAATAATAAATAAAATTTTGAAGTATAAATTATGACATGCTTTTGCACAAACAATTTTAAAATGAATCCTTCATTTACCAGAAAAATGATAAAATATTTGAACTATTGTCTTGTTAATCCAAGCTGACATGACTTACCGGTTCCCCTTTCTGACCTCTTTCGCCTTTGGGGCCCTGTAAAACAATCTTGAGTAAATATCATGCAGATTCAAAAATGCACAAGCATAACATATGTCACTATTCTAATTTATAGAAGTTTCTGAGGAACTTATAAAGCTGTGTATCATTCCAATCAAGCTTTCCTTTCATGCTGGGTACCAAAATATAAATTAAAAATATGTAAATTAACAGTGAAAAAATTATTTGAGTGAAATTATTCTATAAGTAATTAAATTAATAGTTAACTGATCCTAAAAACTTAAAAATTAAAATATTAAATTTGTTAGTAAAAACGGTTAGTACCTCAGAGCCAGGAATTCCATCTGTCCCCTATAATCAAATTTAGTTAATATGTTAAGTAGGAAATTAGTAATTGCAGATAATTTATAAACTAAATAATATATATATGTAAATTAAATATTAATAAGAAAATAATACTCGTAGAAAAACCTAAATATGTAAATAAAATTTAATAATTAAAGATGTATGATTTCTGATCTGTAATAATTTCTGAAATTTGTTTAGTATAAAGCATGAATGTAAAAGCAATATAATCAGGCATTATAATGGTGTTAAGACAAAATATCAAATGATTTGACGCTATATGATTTTATTTTTAAAATTTAGAAGATGATACTAAAAAAAAAAATTGTAAATAATCAAAGAAAAAATGTCATTATAACGTCAAATAAAAAGCAATTAGATAGAAAATTTAATAACAATTTTTAGATATTTAAAATTTATTCAGAATATCATTAGGCTTTATTGTAACTTACTAAGGAGGCATTTACACCAAAAGTAAATTTAGGAAGCTTAAATAAAACAAATTTTTCTTCAAAAGAAAATTAAAATAAAAACAAAATGAATGGATCCACATAGCCTTTAATGAACATCTCAATCCACTAGCCAAATCATGCACTTTTCCAATGCTTTTTAAAACATAATATTTATACAAAATGGCATTGTGACATCAATCCAACAAATTTCAATTTATTTTCTAGTTATACGAGATATTGCTTCCAAATTGCAAGATTAAAAATATGATATTTTTGTTGATTAAAAAAATCTTTGTGATCACAACAAATTCAAATTTGAAATTTTAAACTATGTACCCTTTATAGATATCTCTCCAGAAAAAAAAGAAGACATTTGATTGTAAGATAACTAATTTGAAATAAAAGTTGTAAATAGAAGTTTTTTAAATATTTTTGTGACATAGGAAAGTGAAATTACCTTCTATAATAGCTAATTTTTAGATCCAAAATCATCAGTTTAAAAAAATAACATTTTTCAATGGTGCAAGTCGTCTTGTGATAATTATTTGAAATTAAAAAAGTCATATTAATACACAGGATCGATTCTAAAATTTTGCGAACAGATGTATAAAAGATCACTTATAATAATTTTATATTTTTACAGAGTAATGAATAAAACAATGGAATACAAGTTTTAAAATAAGTATAAAAATCATCCATATTTGATTAACAAGTAATGTTGAAATAATACAAATACCGTAAGAGATCAACCACTCTGGACAAGGACAGAGATTACCACCCTCTTAGCAGAAATAACTATTGTCAGACAAAGGGGAAGTGAAAGTAAAAATTATAAACACTAAGTTTATTTATATTTCATTGTGGGTATTTTTATTGATTAAGTACCCTTATAGATACAAATTTTAATATTTTATTGCTGTAATCTATACAGTTAAATATTAGATAATACCAACGAAAACCGCATATGTATATGTACATAATGTTGTCGGATTGTGTATTATATTAAGCTCATGTTACACATGGAAGCCTGTTCTAATCTTTGGGTGCGCTTGTATTCCTTTGGTTCCTTCATTACAACTATTCTCCGTTACGATCTATTATTTCTGATTTAGTTAATCATCAAACTCTTTCATATTTTATATTTAACTATCTTTTATATGAGAGATCAATACGAAATGGTTAATTGTAACAAATAAAAAAAATTAAAGGTACTTTCGGGGAAGCTAATGTTGAAAATTAGGCATTTAAGCCCTGTAAGAGAACATCAATGAGAATAAACTCTATATAATATTAAAAACTGCTTAATTTTACACTAATATAATGAATTTAATCAAAATCTTCAGAGACGTTTTTGAGAAAAATCGTAAAAATGTGTTACATAGATGATATAAAGTGCCACTTCCGGTAAGCCGATTTTCACAAAAAAGTTGCTGCAACATTTGAGGTATGCACATAGATAATGGGCAATTTCACTTTCGTACGACTTTTAGTTTTGAGCTAGATTGTTAACACACACCATTTTGCAGGATTTGGTTATTTGGACTCAGTTAACCTCAAAACGTGTATTTCCGTTGAAAACTGAGATTGACAATTGGCAACACAATTTAAAGCTCTGGCCCAATCAAGCTCTAAAACAATCCTTTGGTGTGAAACCAACCTTAGTATTTTATTTTAATTCTTAGTAATTGTATATTACAATACAGCAAAGTTTTAGTATGAAACTTACAACTTCCCAAAAGAAATATTTGATAGGAATAATGTTAACAGAATTATAAAATAAATTATTCAGAACATACAGGTAATCCAGGATCTCCTCTTTCACCCTTTGCACCCGGTTCGCCTTGTCCTCCCTGAAAGAAATTTATTAAATTATTCATGGTAAAGAAATGAACAGAAAAGTAATTCAAGGAAATGTAATTTATATTCTAGGAGAAAAACAAAACAAAAATAACAATGAACACTCATATTTCAAACCTAAATTATAAAAATAAAACCTTCATTTGTTCCCTTATGAAGCAAAATTAATCAATTCACAACTCAACTTTTAATAGAACATTCAACGGACATCAATGGCACAAAGTTAACCGTTTTATCCTCCAGCATTAGAGATTTTATCACATTCTCGTAGTGTTTTACTGATCGATAGTCCCATACTTTAATTATTTAATACTATCACATTAAAATAATGACTATTACATTTGAATATTGTGACTGGAAAAAAGGTCAACTCTAATGAAAAATGAAGTCTTACTTTTAAGTACTTTAATGCTTTATAATTAAAGCATTAACAACTTGTGGATTGAAAAAATGTCTGGTTTTATTTAAAAAAATTGTACAACTGTGTTACTGAAAATGAACTAGAACTAATAAAGCTGACTCTTTTGAAAAATGCAAAATTTGTTGGAATTTCTTGAAGTAATGTTTTCTTACTAGGAGGTACTATACAAAAATAATGATACTGGGTAGTGATGATATATTCTATACTCGCCATAAACACTGGAATGAACTCAATGTTATCCAGGTTTCAGTACTCACCAACAATTGAAAAATTATCTTCAATTATCAATTCAATCAACATATTTAATTATGTTTGGTCAGTTTTGAGAATAAAATATTGGAATTGAAAATTTAAAGCACATTTCCACTATAAAAAAAAACATCAAATTTTGCCTTTCTCGAATCTTAATTGAATTAAACACTTTCTAAAGAAAATAAAGACAATTTAACAAATTTATATTTAATAGATTAGAAAATTTTGAAATATATTCTACTTAATTTATATATTTGTAAAAAACAAAAACTTCACTTCACAAATATGAGTATCCATTTTTTTATTTTTTTTTATTTTTATGTAATAAATGGTTAAATATCCATACTTACTTTCATTCCATCCAAACCAGGAGGACCCTGAAACATTTTAAAAATGTTATAGATATTTTAGATGATATTAATAACAAATAATCGACAATTTAATTTTTAATGTTCTTAATTAATAAATAGTAATAAATAATTAGTGGTACTTATTGAGTGCATTTATTAATTCCATGAAGTCATGCTGTAGTTTTTTAACTTCACTTTCTTGATTCCAATAAATATAAATAATCAAAGTGCTTACCATTCGTATTAGTCAATATCTGATGCTGCTTAAACATGCTGTGAGAGTTGCATTCGGCCATGCAACAATTGCTCCTTTTTCACCATTCGTTTCATGCAAAAAATTATTAAATAACTTTTATAAAAAGGAAAAAATACCTGGTCTTTTTAAGATCTAATTATATCGAGCGAAGGCTTAAGAGATTATTACACAAGGAACCAGATTATGTTATTTGTATTACTTTTTTTGGCTGTGTAAAGAGAACTAAAAACCATAAAGGAAAGTGTGTTAATAAATTGCTCATCAAACAGATAGAAATTGAAATTGCAACAATATTTTTTTTTTATGGTATGTTAATCCAAGAAGCTAATTATTTACTTTGAAATAATTTTAAACAGATCCTAAAGGAATTTCAAAAAACAAACAACCTAATTATAAAAATATCATACGCTTTAAATTTATTAAAATATTCTAAATCAGAGATTGTTATATTTTTATTTATACTAAAAAAAAAATCACACCTTGATAAATTCCAGCTAGAAGACAAGCCTATTAGAATTCTAATTGACTTTTATTTCATATTGGATCCAGAGAATAAATTTAGACCACCACCTAAACTGATACTACATCTCAAAGTACTCTAATTTTTATTTTCACTTACCTATATATGTAATATATTGTAACGGTAAGTATTGCGATCGTGAAAATTTTCAAGTCTGAGTTTTCAACGGAAATACACGTTTTGAGGTCCCCTGAATTCAAATAACCAAGTCCCCCAAAAGGGTCTGTGTGTGTTAACAGTCAAGCTCAAAAATGAAAAGTTGTACGAAAGTGAAATTGGATATTTAAGGTTTCTATATGCTAGGAATGTTACAGCAACTTTTTCATCAAAATCGGATAAACGGAAGTGGCACTTCATATAATGGACTAAACATATTTTTACAATTTTCTTGAAAACAGCTTTAACGATTTTGATTAAATTCACATCAGTGTAAAATTAAGCAGTTTTAAATACAATAGAGTTTCTATTCTGATTAATGTTCTCTAACAGGGCTTAAATGGCTAATTTTCAATATTAGCTTCCTCTAAAGTACCTTTAATTTTTTTTATTGGAAAAAATTGACCATTTCATATTAATCTTTAATGAAAAAGATAGGTAAATATAAAATATGAAATAATTTGATAGATAACTGAAAGAGAAATAATATATCGTAACAGAGAATAATTTTAATTGAGGAATCAAAGGAATACGAGCGCACCCGAAAGATTAGAACACACTTCCATACGTAACATGAGCTTAATATAATATGGACTCCGATAATATTATATAAATATACATATATGGTTTTTATAAATGCTATTGTTGTTATTATTTAATATTTAATAGTATATAATACAGGGATATAGATATTAAAATTTGCATGTATAAGGGTACTTATACAAATAAAAATACCCACAAATAAATATAGAGTCTATAATTTTCATCCCTTTGTCTGAAAATACCTTTTTCCACTAAGAAGAGAGTAAGTGTAAGAAGAGAATGGCAAGTGAAAGTTGTTTGATGCGCGCACCACACCAGATTTTTTATTACTTGATTTCAACCGCTTGGAGTTAGGAAGAAAATGGATACATAAAAAAACTCTGGTTGTAGAATGAACCTATTGGCTGAATGGTTAGCTGGAAAAGGGCAGCATAATTAATATACACCATAAAATACTGACACAAAAGAGTTGTATTTTTAGTAAAAATTTACAATATGATTAAAAATTGAAGTGTTTTTTTTCTTGCAGATAGAAACATTGCATATTTATTATATGTCAATAGAAATCATATCCGTACCTATAATTAAAATTTATGAAAAAGAAATGATTGTTAGCAGTATAATTGAAATATTTTTCAATATTTCAATTCAAGAACTAAGTTCATTTAATCTCTTGACAATAATTTGGAAAAAAACTTGAATAAAACCAGTTATCTGGCTGATAGTCATAATTTGTGACTAGTCAGAAGGGGGAATCAATTCTAGACAGCCTAGTCAAGGTTTTGGAAATCAACTAGAATTCATCAGGATACTCATAATGTGTAATCTGTAACAAACCTCTATTACCACAAGTGCTGGTCTCAATTTATTTTCTCAGTAATATGAACATCTTTTTTTTTTTTAAATTAATTAAAATATTTTAATATTTAATAAAAAGTATTTTCAGGAGACAAATTTGAGTGTCTTATTAAATAATTATAATAAATTTGTTTGGGATAAGCATAAAAAAAATCCAAAGTGTTGCATTCCCAATTTCTACCATAAAATTATATAATTAATTGGTTATAAATAACAGGTTATTCAACTATAAAAAAACAAAACAACAGGATTTGTAAGGATGGATCATTGAAGATATTTAAGACATTATACTTTTTTGAAGCAAAACATGCTTTCGACATAAATACTAAATTTATTTGACATTTAAATATATCATCCAGATACATCTTAATAACATACAATGCAGTATGGCAGTTTCACTATCTGACATATATTACAGTATTTATTGTATACAATAATAGAAATAAATAATTAAAAACTTAACGGAATACATTATTTTGAACTTTTGTTTCCCAGTAAAATGTTTTTTGTCTTCTACCAGTTGTCACTACTCACAAATTTCTTTTAGGCTTCTTGCACAAGCATAGTGCTTCTCCATATTTTATTTTATAGTATAGACACAAAAATTACAATTGTATTATGTTATGATGGCTTATAAGTGAAAAGTAATATAAAACAAAAAAAAAATCAAGCGATTTGATTGTTACAATGAAAGTTTACTTTGTACTAAGTTTAATATGACAAAAAATAATTAAAAATTGGTATATATATAATACACTTCATTTTTAGAATTTCTATTAGATATATATTATACATGTTTAAAGCCGTTTGGCAAAAATATATGTATATAATTTTTAGACTAACATAGACGAACTATAGTGGAATCACTCAGGCAAGCAATTGATAATAAAAATACAACTTTGAATTCTAATCATTATTTTTTCTTATTTCTTCAATAATTACAAGACATTTATAATTCTGTTTACAAAAGAAAAACATATCACTGATGTTCCACTATAACTCTAAATTGTTAATGGTACTTAGCAAATATAAAATATTTATTTCTAATTAAATACTAAATACAATGATTAACATTTTGGTTTTTGTTTCATACATTCAAAATAGGAAAAAAAAAAAGATAAAATACAGTACCCCCTTCATAATCCAATTTTTCCAGTATCCAGGAATAGCTTGCTCATTTTGGTGGTGAAAAGCATTATTTATTATGTGATAGTTGATAGATCGATCGAGGTAAAGAACGCCAGTTCTTACTTGTACCAGTGGACAAGTAGCCTTTTACCTTGTGATATTGAACTGTTTATAGGCATGTTTATAACATTCTAATGAAGAAGGCTTCTAATATTTCTTTTTACTTCACACTTGCATATGAAGTAAAAAAAAAACTTTAAACTGTTGAAGTATATCAATAAAAAAAAATTACATATATTTTGCATATACTAGGCAAAAAATTACACACTTTCTGTCTATTATAAATGTTTTTATTTAAAATTTCAGCACTATCCCAATCAGATAACAGACACTAGATTAGCAAGAGTGTACTGTTTGGTAAATAAAATCAAAATGAAACAATTGTAAAAATGTAGAAAAATATAAATTTAAAAATTAGGCAGTGAACAAAGACATTATACTACAAAATATACTCTGATTAAATTAATTTCAATAGATTATTTTACATAGAATTGTAAACATATGAAGATGGATTACTGGAGTGTGGCAACACTTACACATAATCCTTCTTCATATTTTTCATGTTTTTATTTTTTTTTTGTTTTTGTATACCATAAAAGGTGATGTTAAATTCATTCAAAAAATGGCACATTTTATTACAGAACATAAGAAGAAATTTTAATTTTGTGCCAAGCTAAAATTATCTATACCTAATTAACTGCCATAAAGTTATCCATGTCATTATACATATACATATACATATATTTATATATATAAATTGTACCATACAAAATTACTATGTACACACTAAAACTTTACATTGGAGGGATCATAAAGGACTAAAGTAAGTATATAAAGAGTTAAAAAGGAGATCAAGTCGAAAAAACACACAGAACTGATTAATGAATTATTCATGTTATATTGGAAACTAAAATCAATCTAATAAAAGTGTCCAGTTGTGGACGAACCATAACATGGACCATGGAGTAAAACAATAAAATGGAATGTTATAAAAAAGTTAAATGTTTTAAAGGAAATTGATTCTTTTCTTCTAATATCAGTCTTTTAGAGGAAACCAACCTCCTTTGATACCAGATTTACTACCCTCTCTGTTAAATACACAAAAGCATTGAATTAAAACAAAATATATAAATGTACAAAAAAAAAAAAAAAAGAAAAAAATACAATAATAAAAAGAAGGATTAATAAAATTAAATCTGTGTCGAACTCGGACAAAGAGAAATTTACAAATGTTTTAATTAAAGATAAAGTTGACTGTTTATAGGAGAGCTAAGATTTAATCACAACATTTGTACCATGACAAATAGAGCGTGTCAAAACTTGTAGAGAGCGAATTTCTCTTTATTTTATATTTTTAGTTAAACTGTGAATTATTTTTCTGGGAGGTTAGTTTGTTGTTAGGCTCCCTCCCAAAGGTTAGTTGATGTTAGTTGACTGCGTTGAATTTGTTAAGGGTATATCGGCCTTACCATGAGACCTGGTTTCCCGACATCACCTGGTCTGCCTGATTCTCCTCTTAGACCCATAGGACCCTGAAACAAAATTTTACAAAATGTTCTCAATTAAAAACATTAGGTAAGCTGAAAGAACCCCTGAATAAATTTGGTAATATTCTAGTTCCTGATCCAAATTAGTCCCAAAACAACTAATCTACAATTTGTAGGCTAATCAGTTTTTAGTCTACTCATCTCCAACCTATCCTTACAGATGTCTTATTTCTTGTCACTTGGAGTATTTAAATTTACAGTAACATAAACTCTATTTCATACAAGTACTCACAGCTACAAGTCCTTCATTTGTTCATTTTGATAGTAAAAATAAACTGTAGCTGTGATTCATGAAATTTGTTATTATTTAAAAATATAATAATATATGATCAGGCCCTGATTTAATTAATTTGATAAAAAACACTGAATATATATAAGTTCATACCGGTAACCCCATAGGACCTGGATCTCCTTTTGAGCCTTTTTCTCCCTGAAAAAAAAGAAAGAATACTTAATTATATTTCATGAAAAAAACACAAGAAAAGAAAAACCACTATTACCTTCATTACAGCAGGAATATAAAAACATTAAATAAACTGTTTATACAGAAAGCAGTATATTTTTTATGGATAAATAGCTGAAATCAAAATTTATTGTCTGATTTCGACCAATCATTAATTTTATACCTTAGGCCAGGGCCCAGGAGGAAGCTTGGAGAGAGGACAAAAGAAACACATTGGTAGAATGGGGGGGCAGCAATTTTTTTTTGTTTTTTTGCTAAAGTAAGTTTCTATTTTTGATTATTTTGACTATCAACCACCAAAATGAGTTTTGAGAGTACATTTATTTTGAAATATACTATCTAATACATTGTTTTAAAATGGAGACTTTCAATGGAGAGTGGCAGGAACTGAAAGAAAGGGTGGGTAAATTGAGCTTGTACCTCCTGGAAAAATCCCTTAATCCAGTCCTGACCCTGGCTTAGATCTAAAATATTTTTTGAGGCCAAGAAATCATCCTAGGTGTAGTATGACTTTGTTGGTATGGACAGGGGATAATTATATCGCGATAGTTCTTTAATACTGTTCTATTTTGTTGAACCTATTATTCCTGTGTTTATTCTTGGGCGGCCTTATTTTACTGCAACCTTCTTTTTTTTGTCCTTCATTGCCAAAGATCAGCAACTTTTGTAATCATGCAGGATTTGGAAGAAGGTTTGTCAGAATCGAAAATTTACATGAGTTTTACATTCGATACATCAAGAAACAAATTTAATTCAATGTCTGTTAGCTTAATAACTAGAATTAATATTTCAACTGCAAAATTTCACTTCTATACAAGAATTATGAAACTACAGATTAAAATGCATTTTATCCATTTTCTAACAAAAGTCAAAGTCTGTAAAAAAAAAAATGATTGCAAGGGAATCATAAAATTATTTTTGACAACTAATCTGGATATACAGAGTTTTAGACCATATTTTTCATTGAGTTTTAAAAGCTTTGAATTATTGTACACTACAAAATGAATTTATACGTTGTTTTTTTTTTTTAATCCAGATAAAAATAAATTTTGTGAATGAAAATGGAAATATACAAAATGCTTTTTGATGCGGAATGCCTTAATGGTCTCAGAAATATTTAATTTTTTTTTTTACCTGTTCTCCTTTGGCTCCATCCATTCCTCGATCTCCTTTGATACCTGGTGGTCCTTGAAGGCCTGGTACTCCAGGTAACCCAGGAGGTCCTGGGGGTCCGATAATCTGGATACACAAATTACTGTCTTATAATTCAGTAAATTATAAATTTTTAAATTAATTTCTAACTTTTAAGCTAAATACGAATGGTTTATCAATCTATAAAATGACTAATGCTACCGGAATATTAAAAAAATTTATAAGAAATCTAAAAAAATAATGTATTTCGTAAATAATTAATATATTTTGACAACTTTTGAAATATGACCAATCGATTAGCAATAATACAAACTAATAAATTACAATACTTACATTCATTACCATTAAATTTCTCATTTGATGCATTTCAATAAAATTATTAAAATTATTTGGAATTAATTTTTTTGATCATTTACTTTTTAAATAAATACATTGTTATACCTAGCTTTATCAATATAACCTTATCTTAAATATTCTACTCACTGTATCGCCTCCGCTCGTTTCGAAAGTCCCATCTCCCTGAGTCAGCACAAACAAATAATTAGTCATAAAGCTTTAACCGTAATAAAAATAATTTCTAGTAAAACGAATATAGTGTGAAATTAAGAGCAATAATAATTTTAACTTCTCACCTGTCGTCTTCTCAATTTCTTGTATTTCTTCATTATGGAGAGAAGAAAAAAAAAAAGAAAAATGTGTTAGTAAATCGATGGGACAAAATAAAAACAAAATATCAATAGTTTTGAATTACCGATTCTCCTTTGTCACCTTTCTCTCCTTTCACGCCAGGATAGCCCTACAAAAATTAAATTACAATTTTAAATGTTTTGAAATTATTATTAAAAAAATTTATATCAAATCAGAATTCTTAAGGATTTTTCAGAATTCATAAGAACTCATATTTCATATGAACAAAGAATTTCCATCAGCTGAAAATGTTAATTTGATTTATGTGAAACTCGTGTGTGATAATAATAATTATTATAAAATAGATAATGTAAAAAATAAAAAGTACCAAATTATAAGTTTGCCATTAATGTACTTAATTTCTTAAATTATTTTCTCTATATAAAAAAGTTTATAGTGACTGTGTAATATTTTATTTTACATATAAGAGCACCGCCGCCGTGCGGGTTTGCGGATACTGCCCCTTAATCCCATCACGCAGATAAAGTTTTTTCTAATTGTTTAGGACGTAAGTTTTCAACTATTCTCTTCTTTAACAATTTCTGTCTTTCAAACACTTTTTTCATTTGTATAATTTATGAAATGGGAGTTGGTCTGCCATTAGGCAGACAGTGGGTACCCCCCTCGTTGTTCTAAAGAGTACAGAAATAAAAAATATAATATGTTCATTTTATTTTAAGAATATTAAGAAATTGATTGGGGAACAGGGGTGGACCCATGTTATATTCAAATCCACAGTATAATAAGTAGTGTAACAATGAGGGTCCACTTTTATCATGACAGTTAATAAAATAATCCATGGAGAAAAAAATTATGTTAATGCTAATGTATACATACTGGAGGTCCTGGAAGGCCGGGTGGTCCCATAAGCCCAGGAGGACCAATGTCTCCGTAGTCACCTTTTTCTCCTTTTGGTCCAAACTGCCCCTACGAAGATCAATAAGGAAATAATTTTCTTATAATAGTATAAATTATTTGAAAAGTATAAATGTTTTTAATAAATAAGATATGATTATATCTATATGTCATATTGATTTACTTGATTATATTTTTCAGTTCATAAATTAAAAATCAGCAATAACAAATGTATATGATCATGAAATAATAACCATTGCATTTTAAACTCTAGTTACATATCATAACTTAAACAGAATGGTGAAAAAACTGAAGGATTATATTAATTAACAATAAAATAATACATAGTTGGGTTGTTTTTTTTAAATTTATTTTTGGGAGAATTGGATCAACCTAATTATATCAGATTTGATGAAATAACTTTTAAAAATCTATATTAGTCAATTTGTATCAAACAAATTCACTGTTTGGCATATTTCATTAGTAAAATAACTTTTGAAAGGTGTGAATTAAGAAATAAACCTAAAAAATAAATTTATTTATTAATTTTGCTCCTACCCTGCACGGTCATTGTCAACTCCATTATCTTAAATTCTGTTGTAGAATTTTACTGATTTCAAAAATATAAAGTTTTTTTGACAGCATTTTCGTTGTCTTCTAATTTCTTTTTCAATGTTTGTTGTATACCTGATTTTCCCTTGTAATTTAGAATTTGTGCCATTCTTAAATAATGTGTTGAACAGTGCAGCTTTCACATGTTAGGGATTGAAGTTATCTTAAGAAGTATACATGTGAAAATTCAACCCTTAACTACCAGAGAACAGTTTCTTCCTTCATTAATGTACTGTTTTGAGCAGGCTAACATGTGTACAAATCTCGTGTCCAAATCAGTGTTAACATGATAAAATAACTACAAGTTCACATTTTGATGCCGGAGGGGGTATTAACTCTGGCACAAATCCTTCTATTTAGACCTACCACCTGTTTCGTTCTAGAAGAGGAAAGGTTTTCAATTAACTGTTTGGCTTGTCTGAGTTAAGTATGTTCCCTCTACTCCTTACCCGATTTTTTTCCGTTTCCAGTCGAGGGTTTTCTATTTATTTTCAATATTAAGTTGATTATGGGTTTGTCCAAGAGAGAGAAATACTTTATTGATAATAATGCTGTCCTACTAAATAGGGTTGCTTTGAACACAGCATACTGGTCAAACCATATGGACATAGTTTTTACATTGCTAATAAGATCTTGTGTCATAATTTTTTATAGAAAGTAAATGTTCATATAGGCACACTAGAAGATATTAGATGAGAAGATATTGGAAACTAACCGGAAGCCCTGGTGGACCTTGAAGACCTGGTTCTCCGTGCAGCCCTGGCTCGCCAGGCGCTCCAGGTGGACCCATCTCCCCTTTCCTACCTGGAATACCTGCAAAACAAGAAGCAACCAATTTAATACAGTTTTATATCACCTCTAACATTACTAATACAAATTTCAAACTAGTAAATATTCTGGCCTCACAAGCCCTCTCTTGACAATATTATCACTCAAAATACAAAATTACAATACAATAAAGATGTTGTAGTTTTGTATGTAGATGGACTATACTAACTATTGTCACAGTTCTTATTAGTCAAAAAGTTTTTGTTTTAATTTTAATGAATATAATGTAAAAAATTACATTATTGCTTCAAGATGTTCCCTGATCTAATAACATTTTTTTTTTTTAATGATGGAAGACAGAAGAAAATAAATAGAATATATTTTGTTCCACTTGGTTTCTTTTTAAAAACAAATATAAAATGGAGAAAAGCAGTGCATTTCATTTTTTCATAGAAGCGGATGTGCTAACATTTTTTTTTTTAGTGTTGAAACTGTAGTTTAATTATTCTTCAGTAATTTTTCTTTAACTGAACCATTGTTGTAGTTTTTTTAAATGTTGATATTGTAGTTTAATTATTGTCATTTTTTCTTAAGCTAGATTAATTCTAAATAATTTTTTTGTTTATTTAAAGTGATAATGGAGTTTAATTGTTCGATCATTTTTTTTTTAAATAAAGCACTTCTAAATTAATTTTTTGTCCTCCATTAAAAGTTTTATTTCTACTTTTTTTCTGTAATTTATTGAAAATTCGCGATATTATACCTCCAAGATACCTCCTCCTCCAATACCTCCAAGATCTATTGGCTTCTAAACCAATATTTGACCTACAACCATTAACATAGAATATGATTTCACAAACATTATTTTATTCTTTAATTTATATTTGAAATGTATAAAGAAAAACAACCAAGGGATGTTGTTTCAGAGGATCCTACAACACATGTCCACATTCATCATTTAAATGGTTTACAAATACTTCATTTGCCTTGGACTTTAAATACTATACATAATGAGCAGAGTGATGCCATGTTCAAACTAAATCCTTTTTTTTATTTTATTCTTTCAGTTCTAAAATATTTATTTTTCAATAAAACTTTAAACAAAATACTAAACATTAAATTTTCAAGGATGTGGTGTTACTTAAATTTTGGTGTTTTATCAAGTTTTCCATCTTAGCAATATATTGTGGCTCCCTAGCCACTTTAAGAGAACTTGTGTCACATTATCAAGTTTATACTCAATCAATAGTTTTTTTCTTGCTTCTAGGAATCAATATGCAAATTTAAAGACAATATTCCAAAATATCAAAGAAGTGAATAATTATATTAATAAATATTACTATTACAGATAATTGTAAACTTTTTCATATTTACATACTACATATTACCAAATATATTTGGTAATATGTAGCTTAGATGTGAATGATGATGAGGATTTTATTGCATTGTAACTGTTTTCATTATAATAATTCTGTCTGCATTCATGGTTATGATACAGTTACAGAATCATGAAGCAGTTCTAGGCTGGGATTGGTAATAACTTATACTTTCAAGCTGCCATATTCTATGCGTTATTAGCTTGTATCAAATTGAAAAATTGTATTTCATCACAAATTTCTAACAGTTTTCAAAATTAGAACCAGGGGCTGTTTTCATTACAGAAAAAAAAAAAAAGAAAGTGTTTAGAATGTACTTATTACTGAAAGACCTTAAATGTACTTAAGAGATTAGAGAAGGGTTTGAAAGGTGATAAATATTGGTCAGAATAGATGATTGTAAAAGTTAAAATGAATAATGTGAGAACAACAAAAAAAAAAGACTTAAAAACAATCAGGACCTTCCAAAAAGTTAAAATGACCATTAAATAAAAGTTATAATAGGCATTCAAATTAAAATGTGAGTACATGTAGATTTAGGGTTTTTCTATGTTTTTATAAAAGCAACACAATTTTAAGTTATTAATTCTGAACTTTAACATATATCAATACTCAACTATTTTATTGCTGCTTTAGGATTTAATCCAGATGTGGAAATGGTTGAGGAGAATTTATGAACAGGTCTAGGTAGTAAAACTAATTACATGAATATTTCCATCCATTATTTGGATTATAAGATTTAAATATTCATTAAATAAAGAAACATTGTAATTTAAAAAGAATAGGCTGAAAAATTATTATAGATGAATTTTAATTACAATAATCCGATAGACCAACACATTTATGTCATTATTAATCTGATAGTTTATTCATTCGACATACTAAAATAATAAATAACAATAGACTATGAGAATATTCAGTGATAAATCCTATTCACGTTGGTTTAGATAAGATAAAGTTTTAAAAATATTAATCTCAATGTGCTCACTGTTGATAATTTTGGAATCTAAAATGGGAAAATAAAAAAAACTCTACCTGAGCTACCTGGGTGCCCTAATAACTTTTTTATTATAGTACCAATATTATCAAATATATATAAATATTTTTTCATAATTAAGGTATATTAAGGTATGTAGGTTTAATGTCAGTTGCAGAATCTTCTCCAACTCATCCTCCTGAAGAGCAAGCAGTGAGTCTATTGCTTTCAGAATTAACAGATCTAGGAGATCTGTTTGAATATTCTTACACTTTTTTTTCAATACCTGATATGGTTCAATTTAAAGAATAATTCTCAAGAGGTCCAAAGTAATTGGAGGCTACACAGGCGATCCAAAAGATTCTCTATTTCTGCTATATCAGGACCTCTTATTTAAATTTATTAGTGTAGATATAACACACTCTCCTTTAGGTCGATGAGATTCTCTGCCTCGTTTCATTCCAGGAAGTCCAAAATTCCAGAAGAACAATGATAATAGACAAAGCTTAATACCAATGATCTAATCTTATCTCTTCCTTTCATTCCTTCCTTTAATACTGACAAACTTTCCCCTTGATGTCCAAGTCCCCCATGGCATTTGCTTAATCCTAATAGTTTAACAGGCCCTTCCTTGTACCTCAGGTTCTCTTTTGTGTCTCTCAATTTTACAAATTAAATAAAAAGACTTGTCTTCCTGTAATAAAAATATTCTTTATCGCAACCCTTCTGATCATCAGACTTTCCTCAGGTGAATGGGTGAAAGGGAGAGGACTGACATAGATAAATCTGAGGAACCTCAAATGGCTGAAAGTGGTTGTGATAAAAATTATATTATTATATACAGAAATAAAAATTTCATAAATTTAATTTGATCTCACTGTTGCAAAAACCGAGCCTCTAAAGAAAATAATTTTACAAGTGTGTAACTAGCGGAATATATTTCATCATTCCATCATTGAGAAATTTTCTCCTCCAAGTTCATTTTTATTTTTTCAGCTAAATCCCCATTTATTCCAGCTATCCAAAGAAATTCACCCTTAAAAATTGACATCAGTGTGAAAGAAAAAAATTGACATAAGCGTATCAGCGTGAAAGAAAAAAAAAAAATGTTAAAGAAATATATAAATAAAAATATAAGAAATAACCCAACAATTATCTTTGGCTTGGAATAAGATTATGTGAGTAGCATAGTAGGAGTAGTTAAATGGCTCACCTCCAGCTGTTAACGCCTTCAGATCGTGACATCCACTGAGTTATATAAAGCTAGTAATTAACATGTTAATAAGCAACCAAATATACATATAACAAATAAAAGAAAGAAATAAAATTAAAAGTATACCACATTTTCACAAATTAAAGCCTTCAATTAAAAAAGGAAGTTATAAAAGCTTATTGTTTACCCTTATCCATTAAGTGCTTAAGATAAGACCATTTCCTCCAGTTTAGAATAAAGAGTGTGCATTAAAGATAAGGAATATAAATAAATAATGATTGGTTATTAGGTTATTGGGATTTAACATAGTTGAGAATCCATTGGATTCAATATTATTTAACACATAAAGGATTGGTAATAGAATGATTATATAGTGCAAAATGAAACAATGTTTTTTTTTTTAAAGAGTTATTCAATTTAATAGCTAAATTGATAATCTAGTATAGTAGACGTTTTCTTAAAAAAATAAAATAAATAAATAAAAACTGAAAAAAGTGAGACCCTGTGTAACACAGAATTCATAAAAACCATATTACTGGTATCGATAAAGGGAACTAATCTGGAAAGTTAGCCCTGTAGTCCTTTTTTTTAACCTCTGAAAATTAACCAGAGGTTGCCGCCATTTACTAATCAGAATGCCCAGATTCATTTCTACGGGAAATCATCAAGAAATAAATATTAACTGACTTAGGTGTGAAGTGAACCCTCAAATATTCATAACCAGATACTCAGAGTACATCGTTCCAGTATGCTTGGTCAACTGATTCTTCAATCAGTACAATAAATAAAAAATAATGGGTTTTATCACAAACAACATAATACGTTGTTTTATTGTACATGAGTAGAATATGTTCAAAGAAAAAAATACTGTATCTGCTCAACCCACTCTCTATTGGCAGACTCTTACTTATTGACCACCTTAATATTTTTTAATCAGCGACTAAAAAACATACATGTATTGGAAAAATAAAAGTAATTTTAATTGGATTATAGGAATTATAATATGGAAAAATAATTATATAAAATGAGTGGATAAGGATAGAAGATGGTGCAAAGTTAGCACAAATTAAAAGCTTGTTTTATTTATTTAATTAAAATGTGATATACTGCGAAAATAGAAAATGCCAACTTGTGTCAATGAAATGTTGAAAAGAAAATTTTAGTTTTATTGTTTTAAATCAAAATATTCAAATAACTTTCCCTTATTATTTACAGCGTTTTTACATATCACTGGCTATAAACTTGTATTTTTTTAATAGTTCAACAAATATAAATATTATCAGAAAATTAAAGAAATTTCATGAGACAACAAGATGGCATCAAAAAATAACTAAATAAAGTAATAAAAAAGAAACATTAACCAAATGAACTACTGAAAAGAAATGAAAATAATAGATTAATTATCTATTTCTATAGTAAAATACATAACTCTTAAACAGGAATACATCATTCTGTATTACAAAATAAATCTATTGATAATGTGATTTTCACGTTTTATTAATCGAATTTAAAATCTTATTAAATGATAAGATTAACATTAAAAAGAAATAGAACCATTTGATGTTATAAATCATTATTGAAAACATAAATAAATGGTTGGCCACATCTTGTAAGAATGGACTACATGTTCTTTTTTCATATCCTTAAAGTTGTTGCTAGCAACAGGAAATGCTAGTATAGTCCTTTGATATAATAAATATAAAAATATGATTACATAATCAATGTTTTGCAGAAACAATAATATTGCTTTAATATATAAAATCTTTATATTCAATTTTAATAAAACAATGGAATCAAGATCGATTTTAGTTTTCAATAATAAGATAACGCCTGTTCAAGAGTTTTAAAATAAAATATTACAAATTATAAGAAAGTAAAAGCAAAATAATATTAAAGAAATAATAAACTACTATAAATAAATTAAGGGTTAAAAAAAAAACTAATTCAACTCATGCAATGTCACATGCGAAATCATGTCTTTGCAGGCAGATTGTGCACAGCTGAGAGGATGCCCGTCTCGTCTAAGACTGTCTTAAGTGTGTTTGCTCACCCTCTTCCCACGTTTTCCCCTGGTGCCTTTCTCTCCTGGCTGTCCAGGTGGTCCGGTAGGCCCAACATCACCCTTGTCACCTTTCGCCCCTTCAACAAGAAATCCGCGCCCTGTCTCATTTTTTCTACTCACATATAAAGCTCGCTTCATGCCTTAGTCGCTATTCAGATCTACTAACTACCTGACTTTTTGGAAGAAAACTAAATCCTCCTCCTTAGTGATTCAGCCTTAAAAAGTATAGCTTCACAATTCTTAAAGTTTAAAGCAGAACTCGTTAATATATATATATTAAAAAAAAATACCACCCCAGAATATGTTGGTAAATTATTTCAAAATAAAGACTACAAAAATATGAAAGAAAATTATTTTGAAAAGTTTTAAATTTAAAATAAATTATTATTGATACAATATAACACTTATTTATATTTTGGAAATCCTGAAAAATTAGACTTTACAGCTCTCTGTTTGCTTTATGAGATTTTGGTTTTATATATTCAAGAGATTCATATAATTTTAGGAATAGAAACAAACTTCAAATAACATGGAAGATAAAATATATTTTTAATCTGAAAATCACTCATTTTTTCAAAAAATTTATAAAAGTATTATGATTCTGTTGATTTGAACTGCTCTTCATGGATTGAAACCTAGAAAGAGTAACATCTTAAGTTAAATTTAATTAAATTAATTTTTGCACCAAAGAAGAACCGATTTACTAGAATATTTAAACAGCTATAGAATTGCATGGACTGTGCCAGAAATTAACTATATTTACTAAACCATGTTCATAATGATGTTGATCGTGCTTGGCTAAGTAAAGAGAAAATCCATAAAAATTAATAAGCACCGATTAACAGATAAAGGTCTGAAAGGTCAAGATCAAAATCAAAACGAAGGGGGAAGATCGTAAAACAGATCTTGTGATATTGGATTTAGATGGTTATCAGCAGATGGGTGCGGGTAGAAAGTGATGGATATGGTAGGGATTTGACAAGCATTTTTTTTTTATCTGAATGTAAAAAAAATGAAGAATTATATAATGAGAAGCAATATGGTCAGCTAATTTTAAAATTCTCTTTGAATTTTTCAAGACTCTGGAAATCATAGCATTACTATGAATATGCCAACATTTTATCAAATACATCATGTTTGTGTATTTATATATGTATACAAATAAAGTAATTCGTACATTAAATTTTTTGATCCAATTTTATTAGCTTTAAATTTAATATTTTAGATCTTTAACCCCGATTATTTACTTTCTATCTCAAAATAAATAGTACAGCTGATTTTTTTTTTTTTTTTATGTAGAATTCTGAAGCTATACCACAATTTGCTATTTACCTTTATTTATTCTGTGAAGATCTTGATAGTAGCTACATGCGGTCAGTGAAAAAAAAAAAATTAATATCTACAAGTTAAAAAAAATAAATGAAAGATATAACTACAAAATTTATAATTATTATATTAAACTACAAAAGTTAGCTTTAACTTACTTTTAAAAATACATTTAGTACAATAACAACACATATTACAACTGATGAGAGTCTAATTTTTAAATGAAATGGCCATTTTATTATCTTTAAACATTAATATCTATCAGTCTGCAATGGATAGCGATAAGGATTTAGAAAAATAAATTTGGCATACTACAATTTCAATTTCAGAAAGCAAGATGAAGATGACAAGGAAGAAATCTCATTTACTTGTGTAATTATTTTGACCAGCACAATAGCCAAATTTGCAGTTAGAATAAATATAAATATCGTAAAAAGAAAGAAACAAAATAAAATAACACTAAGTGATATCACTAATTAATAAAACTTTGCATATTTTTAGAACAAAAAATATTTTAGAAATTAAAATTTAAAAAATGTGGTTTTCTTCGAATGGTGAAAACTTTTTAGTGCAGAATTCAAGAGTTTATTAAAAATATATAGAAAACTTGCAGTTACTGAGAGAAGGGTAAAATGAAACATAGATGGATTCACTATTAAGATCTGCATTATTGTTGTTATTATTGAAATTTCATGGATTAGGACCAGACATAAGAGATGAAAAGTTCGCTAAAGTATACTTGCACCTTTTAATACATTCACGTTTATAAAATGAAAGGAAATATATCCACAAGAACATACAAAATCTAGACCCAGGTGCCCAAGTAGAGCTATACCAAATAAAGAAATGTAGCTTATAAGAGAAAGCAACATATGCATGTTTTCATAAATATATGATTACACTGATCAAAATTTTTCCACAATACCTATAACTACAATTGTTTTTAATAAATTCATTACTTGATAATTAATAATAAAATAAGTAAATATATAACTAAAATTGTTCTAAAAAATAATCACGAATAGGAATAATAAGTCATAATACATGAATATTCAAATTACAAAAGACCTTTTTGAAATGCATATAAACTTATAGTTTAAATATAATCAACAAATTTTTAAACAATTTTGGATAAACATAGAAAGAAAATTTATTATTAAAAAAAATAAAATAAAAAAGAGAAGGTAACTATAAAAAAGAGACATAAATATTAATTTTAGTCATAATAATTATGTAGAATCTTAATGAAAAGTCAAACTTGAAAGCAGAAAAAAATAAATAATATAATAGTAAACTAGTAAACAAAAGAATATTTATAGATAGTTTATAAAAACAAAAAGGTACTTTATAAATGGAATGAAAAAAATATATATTGCACTTTTTTGATCCATAGTTTCAAAACAAAATTAGATTAACTGAATTAACTACAGATATATAACCCTTAATTTAATAAATAGTATTGTCATATACAGCGACAGAAAACAATTTAAGACCATATAGTACTTCTTCAGAAAAATTTTAGGAAATATGATAATCATATTAAAATACAAAATAAAAAGATGATATATAAATTTACTAGAAAAGCACATTACAAATCAATCAAATTTTAAATCTCTTAATAATTATGTCAGAAATTAAAAATAAATATATATTAGCATTTAATAGTCAACTAACTGAAATAAATGAAAATTTTATAATAACAGAATATCAATCTGTAAGGCAATAAATTACTTTAATAAAACAGCTTAAACATGAGATTGTCAAGCAGAGATAAAAATAGACATTAAAACTAACCTGGTGGTCCTGGTGGCCCGGGAGGTCCTTCGATGATCCCCGTTGGGAACTGGTCTCCTTTCAGAGTAGTCGTCAATCCTCGGTCGCCTTTATCACCTTTTTCACCCTGATTAATCATAGTCGACATAAAGATTGAGAATGGTAACAGGATATAGAAAATGCTATTCATTGTAAAGTGGTTTCATTTCACTATCGATAATATTTTAAACGGAGGTAATGTAGAAAAAATCTCAAAATCTCACAGACCAAGTAAGCACTTTATTTATTAGATAAAGATTAATTCTTAGTAGAATGATCTGTCCTGCTGAAACCTTAGAGTGTATATAAGCTGTGACTCATAACTAAAAATATCATATTTCTATGATACAATTATAAAGAAGAGACCAAAACTTATTGAAAGGAATTAAACAAGTACAATTAATTTAAAAATATATTTATTGAAAATAGGATATGCATTTGATTAAAATATATATTTCAATACATACTTTATTAACCTCTTTGTAAGTCTATCAATCAGGATTTAAAAGTAATGAGGAAAGAGAGAACTGTTTTGAACAATAATAAGAAAGATGGTAGTGAGTATATTTTACAATGTAGTTTAAGCTAAGGAATAGAATAAATCATGGGACTGGTGAAAATTTATTAATCAATCATTTTGCTATTTACATTTGCTTTTTTATTTTACATCAAGCAGTTCACCACAAGTTAGCCCTAATTCTATGGTTTGTGACACATGTCATCTCGACAGACTAGCTTAAGTAAAGCTGAGCAGACTTTGAATAAATCTTGGGAAAACAAATTAATTTCTACAAATATTGGGTCAGGTTAAGAGTGGTTAGTGTCCAACATGTCAATGCCTGGATGATCCAAGATAACTAGCTTTCCAGGGTAAAGTGAATTAACACAGAACATGAAAAATAAGATGAGAAACAAAGAAAAATAAGTTTATCTTTAGTTTATGACCCTAAACTTATGGTTGTGCCACTCTGCTACTATCCATAGGAAAAAGAACGTTTTCCTGTCTTATCTTCTCATCTTTATTTATTAATTGTTTAAAATTAACACCATTATCTTTAGTTTATGACTCTAATGGTGTTAATTTTAAACAATTAATAAATAAAGATGAGAAGATAAGACAGAAAACGTTATTTTTCCTAGGGATAGTAGCAGAGTGGCATCCTCCACCAGAGTTCTTAGATCATCGGGAAGGGTTATAAGAGATCTGCAGCCTCATCACTCCGTTACACTCACAAGAGAAAAACTATCGAAGCTACAAAAAAAAACAATATCCATTCACCAGCCAATCATATCTACTCAGGATGGCTACCAGACAATTGAAGTAAAAATCCATGACTTTTTTCTGACATTTTCTTACTTAATGATAGTTTTCCCTGACCAATATATCTGGGGACACAAATATTAAAAAATTATAATTTATAACTAAATTTATTTATTATATATGAAAGAAAATTTACTACAAAATGATTTAAGTAAAAATAAAAAAAAATTAAACAACACAAATAATGTTTTAGAGGAAACATTTTTTAAGCTTGATCAGGATTTTTTATTTTAGAAAACTAAACTTTTAGTAATTTATTTTTATCTTTTTATCGCTTTTATTTTCTTTTCATAAATTGAGAGAAGATAAAAGTTGTTGCTTGACATATAAAGCTCAGATTTTCTCTATTATAAAATAAAATGAGCTTCAGGGGATTCTAATATTAATGTAGTTTCTTATAAGTAATATAGTTTTTTATTACTAAAAACAGCATAATAATTGTCCACTTTTTTAAGGAGCACCATGGGTCAAACGAATGAGTGCTTTCCAGCCATATCTTGACCCAAATGTATATATTACAAATAGTAAATATTATTGGTATGTTTTTCATTACAAAAAACACTGTTTTAATTCTATTTTACTCAAATTTTATTCATTACCCTTGTTTGATTTCAATATAACGACCAGTGCCATTATTGACAATCAAAGATGGGTGAATATAGTGACCGTAGTCGTTTATAACGACCAAGTTTATCCCTTCAAGGTCATTATACACCATATCCATTGTATATTTATTTTCAATTTGAAAAAAATATTTAAGTCCTAAAAAAATCCCTGACTTTAAGAACAATTTTTCCCTTACTTCTCCCTGTTTTGAAAATTCCCTGACCTTTCCCATTTTTCAGCTCAGCTGCCACACTGTAAGAATATTTATATTATTGGAATATACTATGATATATGTAATGAAGAGAAGAATAGTTGGGGTGATCAGTCAAATAAGAAGGCAAAAACAAATGATAATATTTATTTTGACAGTTGCCGACGTTTCGAAATGAAGTTCAGGCCTTTATTAGGGCTAAGACAAGGAACAGATAACAAGGTATGAGAAACATGAGTAGTGTAGGTAAAAAAAAAATTAAAGTAAAATTAAGTTGGTAAAATAATGACAATAGTAAGAACTAAGAGATAAATAATAATAACTGTTACAAAGTGTGGAATGATGAAGTAAACATAATCAAAAAAGGTGACATAAGTATTACAATGGGAATATTAGAATAAAATGTAAAACAGAAAAAAGGAATATGAAGTTATATAAGAAATGAAAATAAATATTGTAAAATTAACATATTGCAAATAGAATAGTTAGATAGAAAATTGAGATATTGTAAAGTCTATCAAAATGTACAGACAACTTATAATATAATAAAGAGTTAAACCAGAGAAAAGGAATGAAAGGAAGGAGGAAAACAAAAAAACCGAGAAGGCTGAAAAAAAGAAAAAAACCAAACCTGCTAGCAAAAAGGATGTTAGAGAAGTGAGAATATGGTAGCAAGGGAGGGAGGACAGAGGAAACATTTTAATTTTACTTTAATTTTTTTACCTACACTACTCATGTTTCTCATCCCTTGTTATCTGTTTTTTTTTTAGCCCTTATGAAGGCCTGAACTCCAGGTCGAAATGTCGGCAGATGTCAAAATAAATATTATCATTTGTTTTTGCCTTCTTATTTGACTGATCACCCCAACTATTCTTCTCTTCATTATTCAAGACAGTCAAACATTTACTCACAATTATGATATACTTAGTATGAACTTTTATATAATACACAATTACAATATGTACATTAACTTATAGAAGTAAATCCAGGCAAATAATTATAAATTTAAACTACATAAGAATTCGAGGTTTTAAGTAAATAAAGCAGAGGAATGGAAATATATCCTTACTATAGGGCCTACAGGTCCTGCTTCTCCTTGCGGCCCAGGTGGTCCCGGAGGACCGGGAGGTCCACTGACTCCAGGCTCTCCAGGAAGTCCTTGCCTTCCATCCTGACCTGGTAGTCCTTCTGGTCCTTGCGGGCCTGGGGGTCCTGGCGGACCAGGTTCTCCAGGCTCACCCTGATTGTCATAGATTACCCATTAAATAACAAAATATTTTTGCAATGATACAGTTAAAATAAAGCTTAATACACTTTATTATCTTCTTTTTTGTTCAACAAAACTGAATGAGTACCTAATCAAAATTGCATTAAAAACTACAAATCATAATTCTTCACATACAGAGAGGCAAATCATAAATTTAGAAATACAAAACTCCTGGATGTCACAATCATAAAGTGTATTATGAGGTAAAAAAAAAAAAACCAAAACATTATTTAAGTTGAGTAGAATTAAATTTAATTCAGTATTCAATCAAGATTGGTCAGCATACAAATTTGAGTTTAAGCTTCGGAAACATTTAACCGATGTTTGGTAATTTTTATTCTCTTGAGGTACCTCAATCATATTTTTGTTGTCTCAGAAATATGCTCTGTATTTTTTATTTATTACAAGTGTTTTTTTTAGTCGTCCAAGTATTGTACAGAGTACTTCATGGAATTTCAGTAATTCCTGAAAATAGTACAAACTCAACTGCAAAAATTACATGAAAACTGGAAACTTGGTATGACTCTGTAAAAGTTTTTAAAGTGAATCTCATAACTAATCAATGAAGGTTTTTTTTTGTTTTTTTTTTATTCATGAAATTTATAAATGTATAAAAATAAATATACATCCAGTAAATGTGATACAGAGAAATACAATAACATGCACTCTAATAAAACACCTAAATTAGGAGATCAGGAGGCCATCTTCTTTTCAGTCACCACGGGGAGGAGAGGGGGTTTATCAGGGATCGAAGAGGAAACAAGGTTAGAAACAAGAGGATTAGGATGGTTACATGGAACATTAAGGTCGTTATGGATGATTTTATTTGTAATAAAGTAAGAAGCATTGAGGATTAATCAATAAAGGTAAACTTGAAACTTACTGCAAAGGATATAAACTTTAAAATATAGCAAATTTCCTTAACGACCATTATTGCTTTATATCACATTCATTATATTCATGGACATAATAGAATTAATTTTTATGATTACATTCCTGAGCAATGAATTGTTAACCAACTTCAGAATTTATATCTCATCATCAAGATCTCCATACAAACACTGGATTTTAATTAAGCAAACATTTGTCTGTAAACACACATTATTGCCAAAGGGTTAAATTTAAACTTTGTTTTTTTTTCTTTTGCATTCCTAAATTTACGATTTGCCTCATTGTGCCAAACTCCTTCCGAAAATTTGAAGATGTAAAGATAATATCTTTTGATCTAAGTAGAAGATCTACAAATAAATAGGACTTTCTATAATATTAAGGGATTGGTTATTAGGTCAAGATTTAATATATTTCTAAATTTATTAACTCTGGACATCATTAAACAATATCTACGTCTAATGTCTTTTTGAAATAAAATATTAGTTCAATGTACAAATAACATTTTTCCTTATAATATTTAAAGATTTCTTTAAAAAATTGAACAATAGAAGAATAAAAATTCTCAATGTAGAGAGTTAAAGACATATTAAACAAACTATGTACAAAACAAGAAAAAAAAGGGAGAATAATTAAAAATTTTAGTTTTCATTATCTTACCTGAGACATAAAAAGAAATATAATAGCATAACTTAAATAATGTGAAAATTTCATGCATTCATGCAAATAACAAATTTTAATGAATGAATTACTGAAAAAATGCAGAGAATTAAAATAAAGTAATAAAATACAAAACAAAAAATATGAACAAAGATTATTCATCCATAAACTGAAATGAATGAAAATGTAAAATTATATTCGTAAAAATTAAATGTAAGTATTCAATTTAATTCTAAAGCTCAAAGTGTGCATTCTATTGGTCAGTTGTGTCAATTTCTATTTTTTTTTTTTTTTAATGTTTGATGTTAGAATTTGAACATGTCATGTATATGCATTTTCAAATTAATTTTTTTTTTACTTTATTTTTTCTGTTGATGATGCAAAACTTACTTTGAGCACTACGACGCTTTGTTCAGAAATGTTATGGCCAAGTTCTTGTAGCCCCTAAAACCATTAGTAAATAATAGAAAAAAAAAACCAAAAATAAAATAAAATAAAACAAAAGTAAATAATAAATATAAGATAGTTGAAATGAAGATAAAATAAAACTAAACATAAAGGAAAGTTCATGCAGGTAAAAATGATATCTCAAATACTACAACTACCTTCCACCAAATAATACAATTCAACCCATCAAATACAACTGCCCACCAAACAAAAAACAAATAAGGGAACAACTTACTAGAATGTTCGGACAGTGCTGCTAGATATGTTAACAAGATTTAATAAAATTGGATCTGATAAACAATGAATAAATTATGACAGGCATTTTACAACCTATCTTTATTGGTTGTATGAATTTACGAATTTATGCTAATATCGAAATGCTAATATCGAAATGGTAATACACGCATGAAATTTTGTAATATTATTTGTGAAATTTTGTTTATGTGTAATAAGACATTATAATTCTAACAAACGAAAATAGGATAAGAACATATATTTTTTTATATTATTTTCATTTGTGTAACCAATCCACCCAGTTTATATGAGCCAAATGGCTACTGATTTTTCAATTTTTTTTCTAATTAATTCATTACAATTTATATCTATGATGGGAAATTAAAAATAGACTATTTTTTAATTAAAACTTAATTTTAATAAGAAATTATTTTTCTTCAAGGCTTTCAGGAAATTATTTAATACTTACACTATTTTCGAGAAAGTGTTCAATATCATAATAATATGAATATGAAATATTTGATAAATATGGTTAGGATGAAATACAATCCATTGTTAGCAACTGTCTACTTTGTGCTAACTAGCGGTACTTTTTATCAATTTGCAACACCATCCGAACAGTAAATAAAGACCAAACATACAGACATAACATGAAGAGAGAAAATAAATAAAATAGAGAAAAAATCGCAATATATTTCCTCGTAGACTGTGGTTTACCTTGACAGCTACGATTTCGGCGTAGCCTAGCGTTCCGCCTCGTAACGTTGTCACCGACCTCTTCAGGCCCTAGCAAAACATCTCGTCAGGCCGAATACTCGACTGTCATCACTACGAGCGCATCCCTTCAGCAAACTCAACGATTATATCCCCATTGACGTTTTGTTTCTATACTATCGTTATTACGGTCGTTATGCATCATGTGTAAACAGAAGGTAAAATATGAGACTAAAGTAGCTTGTGAGAACGAGATCTCTATATATTAATTTTATAATTTTTTACTCCTTATCGAAAAATGAAATTTCAAAAGAATTATTAAAAACATAGGTATATGATGATATTTTTGTTCGATATAAAAATTTGACAATCGAAAATCGATGTTTTTCAAAAAATAAAAATAAATAATAAACAAAAAAAGTTTCCAGAAAAAAGGCCTCACTGGTTACCACTGTCGGCAAACTTAAAAAAACACCATTAATAACAGCATATTAGGAATATTTTTCATATTTATAATTTTAAAAGTCAGCTATTATATATCTCTAACTCTAAAATAAAAAGTAAATTATTCTGAAAAACGATACTTGAGAAATGTTAGTTTAATAAATTTATATGTCATTGTAGTGAGTTTTCTTAATTATTCTTTTTGTTTATAATTAAAGCATGAATTCTATTTACATATTTCAGTGATTTATTTATTTTTAATTGTTTCATGTTAATCAATTTATCTAGTACTTTCACTGATTTTTAGTAATACATTCAATATTAATTTTATTAAGGCCTTTTTAATTTGTAATTTTGGTGACGGAAATTAATTAATTTTATCTGTAGTTCCTAGTAATAACTTGTTTATAGTGATAAATGTATAAATAAATTATTGATTTTTTTTCTTTTAATTTAAATTTTCATTCAATTTCAATATCGTTTTCCATTTTTCAAAGAGACTCAAAATATCGATATTTCGATATATTTGAGAATTTTACAATAATTATGCGACAAATACATCCTTAGAAAAAAAATATAACAATGAGACAGTTCAGTGTAGCTTGAGTCACGAATGGTCTGTAATTTAAAATGTTCCAGGAACGTCTGTCGGAGATATATGTATATATGTATATATATATATATATATATATATATATATATATATATATATATATATATATATATATATATACACACATATACATATATATATTTTTTTTTAAATAGCAGAAATTTTTAAAAATATTTTACAAAAGAGGGATATAATACGATATAAAAACTCTCTGTCAATCAAGCTGTACCAAACAGACATGGACCAGTGGGCATAAAAGCCGTCTATTGCACCGACAGTAAAAATAATTTTTTCAGTCGAAATAATCAATCAATGTATTTTAAATTAAATGTAGTAATTTAATAGTCAATTATATTTAGCTTTAAATATATTTATAGATATAGATGAAACCATCAAGATTTTTTCATGTTCCTTTAAAATTTAATATTTGAACAGTAATCATTAGAATAATTCTTAATTGTCTTAAATATTATTTCTGTATAGTATAAGGTAAAATTTAGTCTTGGTATTAAATTATAAATTACTCAATTTGTTTAACGAATTAAAAAAGTTTAATGACAAAATCTTTCTTGAATTTTTGTTTCATTTTGTATTCAGCAGGTTGTATTAGAATTTTGCACGAATTTATAGCTTTTATGATGCCCTTAACTAATTCAAATCACACATATATTTAGAGATATAGATTACGAATTTCTTGACTTTGGGATTCAATATTGTGATGAAAAAACAAAACAAATATTTCTTATCTATCATTAAAGCTAAATGGACATTTTAGAATCCCATTCGGTTAAAATACGACGTTCCATTTTGATAATGCATGAATGTAACAATCCAACCATTTATAGCAGAATTTAATAGATTTTATCAAGAGTTTGCAGTCAGGATTTCGCTCGCAGTAACACAAAAATGAAACTCACAAACACACACACAGAAGAAACATGAAGTGGAAGGATACATTATGAATTAGTTATATAAACGAAAAATGTCCGAACGAAATTCTCTCGGAGATCTGGATCTCAAATAAGATGACTTGCTCAACAAGAGAATTTTGTTCAAGACAATTTTAATATTACATATATACAAGGTTATATTTAGGTTTAGAATTCTAGCGTGTATGAGGAAAAAATCATGCATATTTGGAGATCACAATAATTTAAAATATTTTATGATAAATTCAATAGAATAAAATAATCATAGATCTGGTTAAATAGATTGGAATCACAAACAAGTAAAAAGAATCTGGTGCGCGCAATACACAACTTTCACTTACTGCTCTACTTTGAATAGAAATTATTTTCGGGCACTGTTGGGCTATTATAAAATCTTTAAAGTGCATGTTAAGTGGAGCTAAAGCTTAAAGCTTACAGATAACAACCCATTACCACCATTAAAATTAAAAAAAAGTCTATTTATTATATCGACGGTAAGCAATAAAAATGTTTTTCCATTAGCTTTTATAAACCACATCTCTGAGACTTTCAGTTGACAGAATGACTATCTCCAATTTCAAAATTTTTGAGTAATGTCATTTTAGGGAAATTTATAGTTGGAAAATTTATTATGTATACAGACATAATTGATTATGTATACAGACAGAATTATTACGTATACAGACAGTAAGTTGATTCCAGAGAAGGTGATTGCAGTGTTGAAATATGGAACTGTGAATAAAGGTATGAATTTTGTCAATAAACGGCCAACTGATACCTAATTATTTAAATATAATATCATATCTAGAGTTATTAAACTACAGTAAATGTATTTAAGGTTATAAACTTTTCCATAAAATATTTTTGTATTTCACTTATGCTTTCACACAAGTACAATGAAATAGTATTTTAAACAATGGCATTGGCTTGATTCGGTGGATTTTAAATATTTTTTTGTAAACTTAGAAAAACATTTAAAAGTTTACATTTAGTAAGAAAATTTCATTTAGTTTCTTTGGAAACATGTGATTTACGTTAAATAATGTTAGTTTTCTGAAATAATTATTCATATTTATTTCATCACTCTCCGTTACCTTCTATAATTTTATTTATTTGATATTTTTTTTTTTGTTATTCTCCGCTTTCCAACGATATATTACACGTATACATTCTGACTGTTATTTCCGGAGATTCATTTTCAACGTGAATAAGATTTTTTATTTTCTTCAGTTTCGAATTATCATATTCTTCCAAACTTCATATTTAGCCATTTTTTTATAATTACTGTCAATAAAAGTTACGTTCGACTTTTCATTTTTGAGCTAGGCTGTTCACATACACACAGACACAGAATGTTTATACACCTTTGAGTGTGAAAAATGTTAATTAACTATTAGTACACAAGTTTTGTTTCATATTAAGTTAATCAGTACGTTATTAATAACCTCTGAATGGGCCCATAATTTTGACTTTCTGTCTTCTTCGCACTATTGAAAAATCAATATAAAGTGACATTCATTCGCAAATACAGATAGATTATGTCAAAAAATAACAAAATGTTTTAGAGTTTGAACTGGCAACTTGTTGATTAACGACAGTATCATGATTTCACAGTATAATGTTTCTTATTAAACGATTATTCCAGTGAACTTGCTTCCATCACTAAGTTGATATAGTTCCTTGTGACGTGCTTGAAATGAACACGGGACAACCTACACAGTACCCGCAATACTGAATTGTTGTGCTGGTTTAGTGTCACAGACAAGTATGTAGGCACGTACCCAACCATTTTATTATCATGATAGATTTTCATTTTTTCACATTCTAATTTAAGTAAATATTAACATTGAAAAAGCATAATATGTGAAAATTCTATTAATTATAATTAAAACGAAAAAAAAGTACGGTATTATTTTTAGACCACAAGAAGAAGTGAGAACATCAACAAGGCGAGATTAATGATGTGAAATATAACTTCTTTTTTTTTTGTTCTATATTCACAAACTAATAAAATTTTAAATATATGCGATTATAGTTGTGTATAAACTATTTTTGTTCCATATTCACAAAGTATAACATTTACAATATATAAAATTATAAATGTATGTAAATTACCCTAGTAAACTTTGCTCTGACTGATCGTCATTTGTATCATCATACTCTAAAAATGATACAATGGACTTATGATAACTAATGTGCTTAATACTTTTGATTGAAATCCATTTGGTAAGGTAAATATCTAACAAAAACTTCATCATTTTTTTTATACAATTTCTGTAACGTGAGTTAGTGATGTGTCAAAACTTTCTCGAATGCAACAGAAAATCGAATAGAAACATCTAATTTTCTATTTTTATGGCTAATTAAAAAAAAATATATCTATATTGACTTACGTAAATTGGTTTCCGAATTCTCCATGGTATTTAGTTTCGGATAAGTTTTAGCCCAAATGTTCAAAACAGTCGCTATTATTTGTTTTTGTTTTTTTTGCCGCCATCATTATCTCTTTCTGATGCCCTAGCTCTGAGTTGCGTTGGGATGCAATTTTGAATTAGAGCTCTTTTTAAAAAGAAGATGAAATGCTGACAATTTCCCTCGCTTACAGTATGCAGGATTTTTAGTTTCTAAGATATTTTAATCCAAATGAAAAAACATTTCAATTAGTCGACTAGAGCCGAGTTTATCCGAATCAGCGTTACATATCGCCCGATGGCTCAGTCTCATTCACTACCCAAAAAATGGTGCAAAGCACACAGAAATATTCACTTCAAAAATAAATTAATGAAACGAAGCGAAGATAAAAAAAATAAATAGAAATAAAATAAGCATTAAACGACATACGATGGAGGTTATATATTTTTTCTTAATACTTCATTGAATCCAATGAGCATGATGCTCCTCTCAAGAAATTTTTAGTTTCTCTCCTCTTCTTAGAAATGATGCTAGCGAAATTATAATAATAAAAATTGTAGTTTATTCAAAATTACACCTGCTGATGATTCCACAAATCGGAAACTCATAATCACATGTTCTTCTCCACAAAATCATAATTTCATAAACACTAAAATTGTAGCATCTCGAACATTTTGATGTCGTAACTTAAACTATACAACTCTCCTCTGAATACCTCTGATTGAACTGTCATTTTAAAATTAGCCATCCACGCCAGTCCCAAAAAATAAGCACATATCCTAGTAAAAATAGATAAAAATGTTAGGAAGAAAATAAAACTTTTTTGGCGCCTAACTCAGAAAATATAAATTTTAAGGCTGATGATACACAAGATGATCTAAAATGTTTTTAAATTCTTAATAAAACAAAATAAAACACCCCAAAACCGGATAAAGGTAATAATTAGCAAATTCCGAGGAATATTTTTTATGAGCTCCTTCTCCGAATCCAGCTTCCGTTGAAGAGGACGGTAGAGATCAGTTTTTGCCTGTATCTGTCCAATTAACCGTAAGATGGTAGTGTTTTTGTTCAATGTTACTGCCTTATAATTATGTCAATTTTTTAAATAAAAATGTTGCACTTTTTCTTTCTTCAAACGTTGGTGAATATATTTTTATTTGAAGAGAAGAATAGTTAGGGCGATCAATCAAAATAAAAATGGCAAAAATAAATACCTCCATTCTATCCAAGCGATCTCTTCGATCAGCCCTGATGAAGGCCTGAACTTCGGGTCGAAACGTCGGCAAATGTTAAAATAAATATTTTTATTTATTTTTGCCATTTTTATTTTGACTTATCACTCCAACTATCCTTCATTTCATTATTATTATTATTAAAATATCGGCTGTTAACTAAATTCAATTTATTAATAAATTAAAAAAAAAATGATTCAACATTATTCTTTATTTACTCATCTGAAGGATTCGAACGAATAATAGTCTATTTTTTAAATTTACAGGAGATTAGTAAGAGTTTGACTCCTATTACAAAGTGAATTTTACTTTGACTATATTTCTATCCGGACGGTTTTTTTATTGAAAAATATTCTTATCGTAATATAAAAATCACAAGTCGTTTAAATTAAATAAAGTGCATAAAAAAATTAAATAAAAACAACTTTAGACTAATTACGACAGTTTCTCTGCATTAGGTATTAAAAAAAAAGCTGACGGCTTGATATAAACATTTAAAGTTCGACACGACTAATTATACCACTCCGAGCGCCAATAGAGAAAAAAAAAGAAGTTTGAAACAAATTAAACGAAACGAAGTAATATTGGAATTGCTATCCCCGATCGGAAGCGAGCATTCCTTCATCAGCGAGCCTTAATTAAGGAAACTGGTCTCGCTTCGGAAGATACCGCGGACCCGGAGGTGAAAAATGAACTTAAGAGTTTCCTCCAGCATTCCATATTCGATATTGTATATATTTCATCCCCTGACGTAATAATTATCGTTAATAGTCACCAAATGTGCTGAAAATACAAGATATAAATGACATGTCTTGCATGAGGGAGGAAAGTACTCTGCAACATCTCTTCCTTGACTTGTTTCAATACTTAGGTTATTTAAGGAAGGAGATCTCTCATCCAACGCCTTTTTAATCTCCTCCTCATGTACTGGGATATGCCAGCTGTGGCTATGTCTCTTATTATTCTATTGCGACGTCCGTTTAAATTAGTATAAAATCGTTGGCAAAGGATCGTTATATGTTGGTCAACTGGTGGAAAATGCAGGTCAGTATGTAGAGTTTCATAATAATATATTAAATTATATTTACCCAATAATTCATTGGGTAAATTAATAAGTATACATTAACAGAGATAAGATATGTCGTATTATATTTTAAAGCTATGTAGAACAAAAGAGGGTTTGTAGACATGATTCTTATTGCTTCCTCACCAGTTACGGATCCAAGATTTATTTTTTTACATTCCTACCGTTACTAGGAAATGAAAAAATTGCGAAGAGGTCAAATTTACGATGTGCAGTTTTCAACGAATTTCTATGTTTCAGAGCCTCCTAAATCCGAAAAAAGCATTTATAGCCATTGCTCTGTCGGTGCCAATATCTCAGGAACGAGAGAACCTATTTTGTTACTTATTATTTTGTTTTGTGAAGTTTTGACTACCAATGAATTCAAAACCAATTAGGAGTTCCCTGCGCAATAAGAGAAAAGCATGTTTTTATATAGGCCGTGGCGAAAAACGGCTCTAACGACTTTGATGAATCTTCCTGTAATATTCCACATAAATTCCTTTCAATTTTCGTGCATGTAGTGAATTCCTGAGAAAATTCAGGAAAAAATTTATAAAGAAAAGAAAAATAATTAGGGGCCTAACTCACAAAGTTATTTATTTTTAATTCGGCTAGGAATACAGGTGTGTTCCTCTAGGAGTTTCACTGTTGTTGATGTTCTAAGTGAAACTCCTAGAGGAACACACCTTCCTGATGAAGACCTGCAAAGTCGGGTCGAAACGTTGGCTTTCAATAAAATAGTTTTACCACTATTTAGCCTTTTTATGACCGCAACCCCGGACCATCTCCTTCCTTTATAATGCAACGGTCAACCATTAAATATTCTATATATTTTATGGTAAAATTTATATAGAATCTTTTAAAAGGTAATTAAATTCCTTAGAAAATGAAAAAAAAATCATTCGAATCGAACCAGTATTGGCAATGATACAACGTATTCTATTTTATACACATTTTATTACTTTCATACCGCTACTAGGTAAGGAAAGTATTGCAATGGGGACATGTTTTCAACGAATCTTTACCTTTCTGAGCTCCCAGAATTATTAAATTCGTGACAAAACTAAAAAAATAATCTTAGGAAATTTTTTTTTTAGCAAGGTTAGAGTATGTTGAGCTTTATACTATGATGTTTCACATGCCGGTTATATTGTTTTAATTCATCAATGAAATAGTACAATAATCATTTCTCTTTTCGGTTTCCAGAAAAATTAATTTAATTTTTTTTTATTGGATATATTTAAAGTTGGAGATGACACCTAGATGGTTCCACACCAATTTCATCAAATCAGCATTCGCTACTTTTGTTTATGCAGGCGCAAATGTATTTTCTTATATACGGATAATGCTGTAAGTTAGTAATCACTGAAAAAACAAATGGTGCAGAATTAATTTTATAGAATGTTCTCCAAAACTTAGGGTTACTTACGCGCTAACGTATTTCAAATACGATGATTTTGGCCTAACAGTGGAGGACAATTAATTCCTCATATACAATCATTTACGGAGGCGTAAACACATTTTTATTGGTTAATAGTATATTGCATGAAACTATTATTAATTATTTTGCGTCCAGAATCAATAAGAAGAATTCTACATGAAAATACTCATATGAGTAAGAAATAGAATTTAAAGGTATCTTAAATTGAGATATCATAAGATTATATCACAAATTAATTTAAAAAAAAATAAATGAACATTTATTATGATCTCCAAATATGCATATAAAAAACGCAAATATTAATTGAGACACACCGGTTAATTTTTTTTTTAGTAAAAACTAATGAAATAATACAAATTTACAACATATAATATAATAATATAAATAATGAAATAATTATATATTGTTAAATCATTGGATGTAGTCATCAGAAAAATATAGTATATATTGAACCCCAAGCGTCAATCCTTTTGACGAATTTCCTTTCTAAACTTTGGATATATTTTTGTATGGTTTTCATTGGTGAAATTGATAATAATATTTTAAAATATAGAAAAAAAAAAAAAAAGTGATTTCATTAATATATAAGTATATAATCGTATATTGAAATTTTAAATAAGTAAAAACATTAATATTACGTTCAGGCATAGGCCTCGTCGATACACTTTCGAATTTTATTATGTTTTTCTGTTTATAAATATTTTCTTAATTATTTTATGCAATATGCAATCATTTAACACCAGTTTCTTTCAATAAATGAATATTTATTAAAATTAAAATATAATAAATATTATATTGGTTTGACCTTCGTCTTTTTTTTTTTTGCGGTTCATTTGCCTATTGGTCATAAATAAATTTATAAAAATTACTATTTTATTGCAAATTTATTTTGTGACTAACAAGATTTTTTGGGTGGATAATATATTGATGAGGAGAAGGACGAAGATTTTCCTCGAAACGTTCAAATAAATTTGCAATAAAATACTAATTTTTGATTAATTTATTTCTGACCAATAGACAAATGATCCACTATAATAAATATTTATAAAATATATGACTATATCAGTATAGTGGTTATTTTTGAATTAACGATGAAAATTATAATTTAAAAAATTTTACTTCCCCCATACAAATATTTTGACGGACTGACGCTTCATTTCATATATATGGTACATTATATATACTACACCTTATTGTAAATAATTTTATTTGATATAGAAATAATTTTATCATTTATTAAAACAAATTCCTGATGAAAATCCAAAAAAATTCCAAAAATTCTGAACTAAATCGAAACCTTACCTTGACGGCGGCATATACATCGAGGCCTGGACTGCCCAGTTCCCCTTTCTGTCCTTTGTCTCCAGGCCTTCCCTAGAAATGTTAAAATAAAGTAAATAAATAATTATAAATAAATAAATATATACATACATATATTTATATATATATATATATATATATATATATATATATATATACACATACATACACAGCACTTTATTGCAATGTAACTATAGTAATGTCAAAATAAGATGAGGGTGGAGATGTAGAAGATTTATCTCTTCCTGCATTTTGGACATATTAAGTGTCCCTAACAAGAAAGTATTACTGTTTATCTGTTTTCCTATTCAATTTATTTTCATTTATTGTACATACCGTATGAATGAACTTTTGTACTATTTACTAAGGTATATAATGTCCTTTATGACAGCATGTCATATTATTCAATTAAAAAATGTTTCAGAAGAAATTATGGCTAAAATATATATATGTAATGAACAAGGAATTAGAACTGTAAAACACAAAACTTACAAAGAAGACAGACCAATATATTTTTTTTTTTGAAAATTTTTTTATTTAAGAGTTATCCCATTTTGTAAGCAGAAAACTAATTTTTCTGTGCCACAAAATAGCGTTATATAAGAAAAGAACGAGATCATTAAATTTTGTCTTCTATTGTAGAGGAAAATATTCACTACATTTCTTATTCTGACTTCTATTATAGTTGATACATACATTTACTTCCATAAGCTAGAAAACTTTCGGTTTTTAACGAAGAAAATATCAATTATTATTTACATTGTTGACAAAAACATATTGAATAAATTATTAATTTGTTCATGTTTCATTTATAAATAAGTCTTACATACAATAATAAAATAATTCAATGATATTTGACCATTGGAACGGAGGATCGTAGAGATAAATTTTTAGCCTTAAAAAGAAGTATCTTGCCAGTAAAAGTTTTGTGTTATTTCGGTTAGAAATTTATGTAAAATAATTAATTCACAGTATTTCTTTTAGTGGTGTAATATTATCCGCCATTACGGGAAATTATAAAAATATCCGGATTAACATTTTACAAAATGAATTAATTCGAAAACTGTAATAAAAAATTACTTTAAATTATAAAAGAATTGTCGAATAATTAAGTAATACAATAATTATGTTGATAATTGCAAAAGGAACTCAGATATAAAAAATTACTTACTGGATCTCCTTTAGGTCCATCCAGACCAATCGGCCCCTGAAAACAAAGTAATAAATAAAATTAAAAAAATAAAATATGTACATGTACAAAATAATTTAGTGGAATGAACAGAAGGGAAAACTGTTCATTTGGTAAAATGTGTAAGTCTTTATTTTATCATGAGATGTTAGGATGAAAATTTGAGGAGATAGTGAAAACAAGTCTGCTGAGCAAGACAGTATCTAAACTTTTCCCACCATTTTTTTTTTGATACATAGGAAAAAAACAAATATGCAATACCCGTTTTACGTAAGCAATCCCGATTTTAATCTCAACGGAGATAATAATGATCTATCTATCATTTAGGTATCTATCTATCTAGGTATCTACAGAGATCCAAAGTTCAGGAAAAGAATAAGACTAAAAAAAATTCGTTGTTATAAATTTGAACATAGCCCAACTACATATCAAGCGCATGTGTAAACTAAAGTACTGTACGGAATTTGATAACTTAGGTCGGGGACTATATAAGTAACAAATTCGTACGATTCCAGAACAATTCATCAAAATAAAACGTTAGTAGGTGCTAGCAACTTTAGTATCAATGAAGTAAAATTATTTAGAAATTGAATTGAATACTCTCCTGCCAATGTCTGTGTGACAAATGTATTTTTAAAAATACCAAAACTATGGAGATAATGTTTTTCATACCATGACGAACAATAAGCTATCCGAGGGTCAAGTTATAATAAACAGACTTGAAGCATCTGTAAAGACTAGTAGAAGGAACAATTATATAAAAATAAGGAACTTATTAATAAGGGTATCACGTTTGGCATGCGACTTAGCATATATTATAACACACACCACTAATATCAATATATAAAACTGTTATTAAAAATGCTACTGGTTAAAACAAAATTATTAGTTACAAATAATAATTCTTAAGATTAAAGTAACAAATCTACAGTAATTAATTATTTTTGACAAAAAACATGAAAATAAAAACTGGTACGTGCAGTTTTCCAATATACCTGCTTAGTAGAAATATAATCACATATATTTCCATGAAAAATAGATAATTGAGTTCTGTTATATCTTTCATTTATGAAAATTACTCAATATACTTTAAAATTTCGTTTTATTAACTACATTTGTATGTAGTAATCAGCGAAAGCACCCAAAGGTATAATAATAATAAAATGATTAGCGAACCCGAAGGTTCGATGCCGACACCACCAATTGCTTATCACACACCTCCTCCACCGGTTGCCGGCCAAACCCAATACCTTCAGATCGGCCTTAACGCAATCTTCCCATCTTCGTTTCGGTCTACCAGTCGCCACAGCAAATATTAACCTTTTAGAAATTTTTTCGTTACTAAGCCCATAAGATTCGCCTAGATGTTATCACCTAAATAATATTAACCGGATACAGTTCACGCAATTGGGCGTTGTATAACCGTCTAAATTCTCCGGTTAACTCATCCTTCTACGGTCGGAATATTCCACACAATACGTTATTTTCAGAAACCTTAAGACGTTTCTCATTCCTTAATGTAAGCGGCCACGTTTCGCATCCATAAATAACTGTATTTAGGATAATGGTTTTATAGATTCTAGTTTTTACAGTAGGCGCAAGCTAAGTAACACACAGGTATAGTAATTTTTAATTATTTTTTTGAAAAAGAGAAAAAATAGATTGTTTAGTTTTAAAAGGGGATCTTACCATACCGTGATAAATATTATCACGTAGAATAACGTTCTTCCATGGTTATACTTCGCTTCTATAAATGATAGAAAAGTAAAGTTGGTATTCCTAAAAAAATTAGAGATTTCAAAAAGGATTATTTTATTTGGATTTAAGATGGAAGAGAGCGAGTAAAATTGGCCCAGCATTTTTCGTTGCGCAATGATACTTATAGCAAACTTCCATTTCAAACTCATATTATCAAAATTAAAAATAACATTAATTTTAATTGGCAATCTCGTGGCTCATGGCTGTTATCTAGGACATCTATACTTATATTTAAGAAAATTATTGTTGAAAGAGGTGATTTTTTTTTACCCTAATCGCTATAATAGTCGAATAATTTAAGAATGGCTCGTAATTCATCGAAAAATGATTTATTCAAAGCCTTACGTACATCGACGTAATAAAATATAAATTACAAACCTTTTTCTGTAGTCCGGTTCGAAATAACCTTCAAAGAAGAAAAATAAAATAAATTTCTAATGCATAAAGGTAACAAAACAACAACGAATGAACTCTAAAATTAAGCCACGACGATATTGATATCTGATATCGCGCAATAAAGCGTTTACACACTCTTTTACGACGGAATTAAAAAGGACATTCCCACAAGACTCGCGCCTGAGGAGAAGCGGAGAATTTACGAGCATGAGAGCGACAAAAAGATATGAACAAAGGAACGGCTGGTAGTAAAAGCGAATGTGGATCAGATAGAAGCAACAAGAGATAGCCAACAAGCTCTCCATACCACTACCATATGTGAGCCGGCGACTTGACTTCATCTGCTCCTAGCCCCCTCCAAGATATTGCTTATCTAATAGACAAACTTATCGGGTCTGTGCTCTCTACTCAACTTGCTTAATCAAATCCCTACCAGTTTCCAGAGTTCTGAGCTCAAACACCTAAGATGGATACATGGATAAACATGGCTTCACGTAGGTCGATATTTCAATAACAGTACAATGAGCCTATCTCCGGTATATGGATCATTCTTCATTTGAAAATTTAAATTCTACAGATAAGAGTAAAATATAATTATTTCCCCCAATTTACTTAAACATGAAGACTAGAGATGATAACCAGAGTAGAGTATGTGTTGGTCTATAGTTGGTTGTCGTAAATCGGTATGTAAGGTTTTGTTGTTTACGTGCCAAGGAGCTGATATTATTAGTCTTAAAATTTTGGAATGAAATGATTGTACGTTTTATAAATGCGTCTTTTTTGCAGAACCGTAATTTGTGAGGAGTATGTCCATATGGGTTTAAGTAGGTAAGTATATGTGTTTAGTTTTTGTCTGATTTTCAGTTTTGATTTGGAAAAAATTGAGTATAGTATTTTCAGTCGCTTGTTCAAAGTCTTTCGTTTCATTTTAACGTGTGGATCCCAGGTCATCCTCCTGTCGAATACTAACCCGAGATAGCGTACAGTGTTCGTCTGTGAAATTTGGTTCTCTCCTATATAAACTGGTGGGCATGTGTCTCGTTGAAGCATAAATGTTATATGTCATGATTTAATCTAATATTCCAAAGTGAATACCAGTTTTATAACTATATTTTGTAAAAATAACTCTATTTTGCACAAGATTTAAAAAATTTAAACTCGCAGATCTAAATCTAAAAGGAAAGTATTTTCTGTAAAATTTCTCTATAGTCCTTGATACAGACTCCTTTTTATCAATTTATTTACATCCGCCTAAAACTTCGTGAATAGCTTCATCTCATCGTAAACTATAACTAATTTATTAACGAAAATTCTCAGAAATGGATCAGATCTCTGGAGATAATCAAATTTCGTCAATTTAATTAGGTAAAAAAACGCATAAGCGTCCATATTCTTTCCACTTGAATCATAAGAAGATTTAATTACAAAAGATATAGAAAAAAAGGTGGCCCACAAACATATTGGGCCATTTGCTCCATTTAATCTCGGTTAATTAATTAATTAAATTAGAAAACGTCCCATTTCTGATAATTAAAAAAAAATTGTAAGTTATGATAAGGTGAAGCCATTTACGAAGTTTTAGGCGGATGTTAATAATTCGATAAAAAAGGCGCCTGTACCACGGACTACTAGTTTAAGGAGATAGATATTTATAGTCACTCTTTTCTGTACAATTTCATAGAATTATATTATAATTTTCTATTGATAATATTTCCATGAATAGGACAAAGTATAAATTTTATGGATAGAAATTTGTATGTAAATTTTCAATACCGGATAAATACATAGTACACAGTTTAAAAACGTATTTTTTAATATAAAATTGTTTTTCCACTCACAATAAAACTAAAATTTCTGTAAAACTGACCAAAAGAAAAAAGAAAAAAAATCCCAAAACCTGTACCACCACAACCCATGAAGGGTCTCGGGTTCAGTTCTTCGTAAGGAAGTACCGTCCCAAGGCTTGTGCAGAGGTCATGTTTTTCCGTTAATTAATTAAGTTTAAAAATATATATTGTTTTAAATAAACACAAACGGAAAATCAACTCGTTTCCAAAGTTTCAACCCACTCTGCGATTAAATGATATTCACTAAAAGTTCTGTGAAAAACCAGGAGAAACATCATCAAGGTTTACAAAATATCCCTTAATGGAAACTCGATAAACAAATTTAAAAGTTGGACCTATTGAGGCCTTGTAGCATTTTATTAAATCGGAAAAACCGTGAGGTTTTTATAAAGTTTCCCTTTGCGAGGCGGGGAAAGCCGTCAGGGCCCTTACTAACTACAGTCCCTCGGTTAAACTTAATTTTTAATAACTCGATATTCGGCTGAGTGGGAGTAGGGGGGGGGGGCGTCGACCAAGGGAAAAGTCGAGGAAATCTTGTTTTCCACTCCCGATAATAAAGTAACCCCCGGGCGAAATCGAGTTGTGGATCTATCTCTAAATACTGGGATTCCGAGGAACAGATTGCTGCCCCGAGTGGGCAATATTTTTCACCGGAAAAAACAAAACAAGTAGGACTTAAATTGAAGGAAAGTTACAAGGTGCCCCCTCACCCCTTCCCCTGCTGCTGGGAAGTAAACATTAACAGAATCACACTCTACAAAACACAACCTTTTAACAAACATACACAACACAGAAAGACTAACAAGGTGAACAGAAGATTTCCTTGTTATCCTGTGTACATTTCAGTTCAGCAGTCTAATAAAACAATTGTGATTTTATATTGTTTATATATTTATTATGGAATTTTATTTACTTTTAACTCTCAATAAAATTTGTATTAGATTTTTTTTAGATTCATTAATTCGGAATATTACATTGGGCTTGCGGATCAAAGGAATACGACATGAACCATACCATTGTCGATCATTTTGGAAATTTATCTACTTTCAATATTTTTTTTTTTATTTATGATATTTGCAACTGTATTAAGAAAAAATACATTCAGTAAATGTGACAACAGAAAATAAAAACACGAAAACACTTGTTGAGAACCTACCCACTGGTAGCACTCTAAAAAAAAAAAAAAATGTATTTACAACAGCAGATATGGAGGCCATCTTCTTTTCCTACGCCTTGGAGGGTTATCAGAGATCGAGGAGGAAGGAAGGTTAGAAATGAGAGGGTTCGGATGGTTCTGAAGTTTATTATGGAAGGATAGGTATCTGGATTGGGCCAAATCGGAAACATAAGGAACATTAAGGTCTTTATGTTTTATTTGTAACAAAGAAAGGAGCATTGAGGATTTTACGAAGGATTTTGGATTGTAAGGATTGGATGCGAGAGGAATTAGATGGTTTAGTGGAGCCCCATAGCTCAACCCCCTAAGTCCAAATAAGCCTTATTATAGTCATGTATATGAGTCTTTTGTAATTAATTGGAAGTTTAGAGCGTTTGTCTAGTAAGTGCTGAAGTAATCGGAAGCGTCAAGCGGTTTCTTGTCGTTTTAGTCTGGTATGGTTTCTTAACATAAAGATTTTTTATATTATAAATTTCGATTGTGGTATTTGAATAATACTATCTCATCCACTATAATATTAACTCATCTACTGATATAATAGAATGAATGATCTTGAAAACAGCAACGTAGTTAATGCCTCAATTTTAGCTGAAAAGGAATAGTGTGTAGCTTGCCGAAGACGTAAATTACGATCCAAAAATAATAAAGGGACGTTATTTTCATAATTATATTTATAGAAAAAAATATAGATAAGAGAATCATTGGTTTAAGACAAAAACCTCAGTTTCGTTTGAAATTTGTGGCTTTGCAATCAACAACCGATTGAATAGACTTAAAATTGTGTTGTAAATTTTATTTTTACCTCTCAAGTCTCACATTTCGATTCCAATTTCTCAAAAAAGAATAATAGAATAATATTAAAATTGGATGAAATATTGTTAAAAATTACATAAGAAACCGTATGGCTATATTTGTATATCCTTTGTTGCAAAAATATAAATATCAGATGAGATGGAGAGAATTTTCCGAGCCTGGATGGAATATTATAAATACAGAAGGACTCGCACACAGAACACAGTACACAGTACACAGAACACAATACAGAAGGAACACTGAGCAGACAGCTAGCTAGCTTGCTCTCTCGACAGCCCATTCCACCAGCTGTCTTGGCATTCTTAGGGCCTTCTCATTCTCTGAATACATAACTTCTTACACTCTACCGTATTTTCCTTTACGTGATAAACTCTAAGAGTTCTTTTCAAGATACATTAAAAATAATCTTCATGAAGAAATTATTGGACGTTAATAAAACAGACATTAGAACAGTGTTTAAAAATACTCTTATTGCAATAAAATTTCCACTTTTTTAAAAATATATTTATTGAAATGAGAACTTCTTTAGGGCTGTTCTGCACTTCTTTGTGGAAAGTGAATTAGATTAATCCGTCAGATTTCCGAAGTGTTGACGCTCGAGTAAAGTCGGCTAGAATGGACTAATTGAAATGTTTTTACAGATGGATTAATATATTTCAGAAACTAAAGATCGGGCTTGCATACTGTAAGCGAGGGACTTGTTCAGCATTTCATCCTCTCTGTAATGGGAAAATATTCAAAATTGTATCTTAAGGGGACGCCGTGTAAGCAGGCGAATATGAAAAAATAGTGTCGAAAACCAAATGATAACGAGTTTTATTGAATGTATGGATTAAAATATCTCAGAAACTAAAAAGCGGAACTGCATACTTTAAGCGAGTGAATTGTTCAGCATTTCATCCTCTCTGTAATGGGAAAATATTCAAAAGCGTATCTTAACGCAACGCCATGTTAGAGATGTGAAAAGTAAAAAATATTGTCGAAAACCAAATGAAAACGAGTTTTATTGAAGATATTTCAGAAACTAGAAATCGGACCTGCATCCTGTAAGCGAGGGAATCGTTCAGCATTTCATTCTCAGCGTAATGGGAAAATATTCGAAATTGTATCTTAACGCGACGCCGTGCAAGGGATGCGAAAAGGAAAAAAATGGTGTCGAAAACCAAATGATAACGAGTTTTATTGAAGATATGAATTAAAATATCTCAGAAACTAAAAATTGAACCTGCATCCTGTAAGTGAGGGAAATGTTAATGATTTCATCGTCTTTATAATGAGCTATTATTTATAATTTATATTTCATATTATTAATTTCGCCTTACTAATGTTTTCACTTCTATCGTGTGGTCTTCAGTACACATCTTAGTTTCGTTTTTTTTTTTTTTTTTTTTTTTTTTTGGGCATTGGCCATTGAGGACCACGAAACTATTTCATTTTTGTATGAAGTTTTCTTTTTCTCCAGTACTCTTTCATAAGCCGCTGTTTCTGTTCATCGGTCCAGGATCTTCTACTCCTCACAGTTCTCTCGCCCTGAAATCCTCTCCAGCCTCGAACCATGATCTGAAAAGTATTCCTATTCAACATCTGAACGTCTCTAGATCTTCCTTAATCCATCCCATTGTTGCCTTCTTGTTCAACGGGTAGTCGAATACCCTTTTAGATAATCTAGTTTGGTCCATTCTGTAGAAATGCTCGAGAAATCATAACCTCCTTTTTCACATGGATGTTATGATGGTGGGACACTTTATATAAATTTCATTGTTGCTTCGAAGTTTATAGCCGATTTCAATTTGCATTGGGCCCATTATGTTTCATAATGTTCCACTTTTCAGTATCTACAGCCTTTCTAACTTGTAATTCATTGATAATAAATAGTTTATTTTTTTATTTTATATCTTGTTAAATATTGTTATGTTTTTTAGTAATTTAATTATTTTGATTCCTAAACCTTGAAAATATCTGTCATGCAGAGGATAGCCTTCTTAAATGTAGCCGATAGTAAGCTGCACATCACAAGTAGAGTATTCTTTTTAATATGGATCCATGAGTAAGCCATATTCAGCTAGTTCATAGTCTTATGATAATAACCTTCCAGGAGTGGATCGAGGATTTAATTTTGGGGGCCTCAGCACGAAAATATAGGGTGTCTTGTAAATAGAGGGGAATGCTAGATGTCAAGAGCTACAACAATGTTTATTTAATATTGGACCGATTTGCGGCAGAAAATTTAAGTTTTGCGTTTTGATTTTTAAGTAAGTCATCTTTTTTGTTCAATAGAAAGTGATAACTAAATAAAAATTTAATTTAAGTCGTTAAAAATTATTTCACTCTAAACTAGACAAAAAGTTAGTTTAAAACAAAGTAGAATTTATCCTTGCATTACAAACATATTTTTTCACTTTGTTCATTAAAAATAAATAAATATAATCGGCATAAGGGGAGGGGGTAATAAAACCATGAACTCTTGTTCAAAAACCTCATTTATGTTGAGATTTAAAAAACTTAAGTCAACAAATGTATTGCATATTGTAGTAATATTATTGTATTACCTAGTGATTAATTTTTTTTATAGTTGTAAATTTAATAAATAAAGTAAAATAATCATTTATTGTGTTATATCATGAAATCTAATTGAAAATATAAAAATTAAATGTCAGCCAGATTTCCATCAACATTTTAGGAAAATAATACTAAAAGGACTACTAACCATGCAAGACAGTTCAAGGTTAAGGAAATATTGACAATTAAAAGAACGGAAGTTGAGAATACAAATAAGAAATAGTCCACTACATTGTTAATTTGAAGGAAAAGAAACGAAAATGATGATAACAAAATGTTGAAAAGCCAAATAATAAAGAAAATAAACCCAATTAATAGACACTTAAATCCCAATTAGTAATTACAACAGTTAGTTCTGTTAGTCTACCAATAGCAGTACTTCCACCATTAACTGATAACATTGTAGCTTACCATAAATCCACGTTCCCCTTTTTGACCCTGTAAGAGAAACAAACAAATGAAGATGAAGTCAAAGATTTCATATTAATTTTGCTAAAAGATTTTGAACAACTATTTCTATCAATTTTACGATGTTTCTTATTCCAGAAAGAAATTTTTATAAGTTCTATATTTTTCCTAGATTTATGATATGATTTAACAAAAAAATTCAACTAAAACATCCATAGGAGTTAATACCCACTAACCAACCCAGCTTAAGGATCCAAACTCGCCCTTGATTCATATTTTAAATTAAAACACTAAAAAATTCCTTTCTTTTTTCACTTTAACCAAAGCATAAAAACAGATGCATATTTAAAACAGTAATGATCGGTATATATTATATATCACTTACAAAATATTTAGAAATAAATTGGTAGGTAAGAATGGTAATATAAATTGGTGATATAAATATAACACAATATTTCAGAATCTAAGAAACGTTCAAAATATTTTTGTAAAATTAAAGTTGAGATAATTACAACTGTTCATTTAATTCATTATTTCTCTAAATCTGTATAAACAAATATAATAACTGATGAAATTCAGCCCAACCTATTATATATAAACCTATATAAATTAATGAAATAAATATATTTATTTTCCCTCAGTAATTTAATTTTTTTTTAACACAGAGGTAAATCCATTATTATTAAAAAATAATATTAACAACAAGGTATTTTAAGGAAACGTTAAACTATATATTCAAAATAATTTCAAATAAAAAAATAATGAGCAGATTAAGATTAAATGTAAATAAGTTTATAGGAAAAACAGAATATATAAAATTTTTGGTGCACAGGGTATCACAAATACTAAAAATAAAAACAAATTATATAAAATATACATTTTTTACATTACTAGATAAAATAAAAATTAGATTCTAATTTAAGAAAAAAATATATACAATATAATAAAAAATTAGATTAAAAAATTAAAACTACATTAACAAAAATTAAAAAATAACTAAAGTACCGGAAAGCCGTTCTTCCCAGGTGGACCAAGCGGCCCCTGAAAAAATCAAAACAAAACAAAACAGTCAGACAAAACAAATGCAAAACTACAAAAATCATAATAAAAAAAATAACACTTTATTAAAAAAAACAATAAAAAAAAAGTTCGCTTGGACAAATAAAATTAAAAAAATAAATACATTTATATATAAATGGAACCAGTGAAATAATTAATTAGTTGATTTGTCATAATATCTATATTTTTATACTCAAATTCATGGATTTACTGAGGAACAACAAGCATGTTTTAAAAATCTTAATTACAAAATAGGGATTTCGTTGTGGATATTGAAAAAAAAAAAACAACAACAACAGAATATGAAATATATTCATTCTATAAATATATATACTTGATATTTAAAAATTAAATGCTATATTTTTATTTATTAATTTGTTTTTTAGTAGCGTTATGAAGTTCTATCACGGTTAGTGCATTTAGGCGAAATTTTTATCCTGCAAGTTTTTGGTAAAATCGATTTGGAAGCATGTATTGATTACTACGAGGATTGAAGCTTGGTTTTAAATTGAGAACTCTTTTCATTAGAACAACTTTCAATTTAATAGTTTATACCTCTAGGAAATACCTCTAGAATAACTATAACACTGACAGAGGAAAAACTTTAAAAATGATGTTTTTATTTAAATGAAATTAACTTTTTTTGTTTAACCTTAAGTTTTCTTTTTTTTATATACAGCAAAAATTATTTTAAATAAAAATATACTTTTATATATTGATATGAAAATTGCACATGACACTTATGGTAAAAAAAGTATAATAAACATGTGCACACAAATGCTCCCTGAAATGCAATAAAAGTTTAAATGAATACGTGACATGTTCTATTAGGCCGATGTTGTTCACATTTTTATTATCCTGGTCTTATAAGACTTTTTTATTATTCTCATTTTTTTTATTAGTCTCATTTGTTTCTATATTTTTGTTTAGTTTAGTATTCGTTACATTTATAGTCAGCCTAGTGTCGGTATCTTTTATCAATTCGATCTTATTTCGAAATTAGTAAAGTGTTTTTCAAAACAAGAATATGTTGATATTAGCTAAATGATTATTTAGGGAATTTAAATATTACCAAACGATAGCTGCAAGATTAACATTTAAAAGAAAAATAAGAAGAACAAGGAACTAGCAGAAAGTGTATCACAGTCGTCATAAAAAGTTTCAATGCTAAAAAAAATGTTTGTGTGTAAAATACACACAAACTAACAAAAAAATCTAGCTTAAAATAATTTTCTTTAAAATTATACAAATCAGGGATATAATTCATTCAAGGAAACAAAAGAAAAATATACAAAACTTAATTAGGAAAATAACGAAACAAGGGAGTAGAAATTTTCATAGTGAAAATGAAAGTTCTGACAATGGGAAGACCGCCATTGTCAGGAAGAGATGATGTAGCGAAAGAAATTCGAGATGGAAGGATTATTTTTAAGAATGAAAGAAGACGAATCCAAAGATTTCTTTACAAAAGGATATTGTGTCTGTCAGAGTGGATTAAATTCTTCTCAAAGGATAACGCATTCATAAAAATTCATCTATAACTTCTTATATGTATAAATATATAAATATATACACAATTTGTTATTTAAAGAAACAACAATTGTTTATAATTAAAAAACAAAACAAATTTCAACACAATATCAACCGACAAAATATTTACAATAGGGGCATTTTTAAACGTCTCCAGTATAGAATAAAGGATGTAGTAAAAAAAAAATAAAATAAGAAACATTTGAATACATTTTTTTAATATAAATATGTGTAATAAAGGAGTTAAGCATAACAGGAAAAAATATTAAAATCTGTGTTATTACTGACAGAGGTAACTTTTTACAATATTCTTCATTCATAGGCTAAAATAGCCCTTGGGAAGAAACCAAAAAAAAAAAAAACACATCGTTCTTACATTGCGTATTTTTCTTTTTAGCGGCATTTATTCTTCTCCAAATAAAGTACCATTTTAAACTTTAAAATATTTAATGATTTTTCAATCGTATTGTTAATCCAAGCATAATAAAAGGATGGTATTAAAAAGTTTGACCTGACGCCCGAAGGGAACAGAGATCGGACAGAAGCGGAAAATTACTAATGGAAGGACTTAGCCAAGAGCTGACAGCCCGGGTGTCCAACTTGGACAGTTTTCAGGACAGGGGTCACTAGACCGACAATCAACAACAACTATCAATCTTGTAAACTGCTGAAATGCTGGATTATTCTGATAGATACTGGATCAATTCAAAACCTCCATTAAACCAAATAATTTGGTGTGCCCACTCGCACGACTTTCTTATCTATTTCAGAAAAGTTTTTATATCTTTAAATATGTCCATGAAGAAACAAAAAAAAAAAAAAAGAAAGAAAAAAAAAAGAGCCGTTTTAGTATTACAGTCTAGAGAAAAATATGTTTTTCACTTATTGCGCAGCCACTATTGTGTATGGAGCACCCAATATGCATCAGTAGTCAAAACTCTACAAAATAAAAAAAAAGAAGCAACGAAATCGGTTCACTAGTTCTCGAGATAATCTTGGCACCGACAGACAGACGAATGGCTGAAAATGTGTTTTTTTCGGACTCAAGGGGCTCTGAAACCTATAGATCTGACGAAAACCGCATGTCGGAAATTTCACCAGATCGCAATACTTTCCCTTATCCAGTATAGGTAGGAAAGTGAAAATGACAAAAGTTATCACTTAAAACATATTTGCAATCATTCCAGCATAACAAAATTCAATTATACATATTTTTTCATATAACATGTAATTCGAACAAGGAACTCCTGAACTATTATTATTTATTTACATTCCTGCCGTGCCTGATAGGCAATACAGGTTTTGGCAGCAGTGAAGTGTTAAGCGTTTCCGCGTAACAACACACTGCTTTATTTATTTTATTTATTTATCAACCCTGCCGTGCCTATTAGGCAATACGGGTGTCTGCAATAGTAAGATGTTAGGCAGGTCAGCTTAACATCTCACTGCTGCAAATGAATCTTGTTCTTCTGCTCTTTCTTCATGGTTGCTTTACATACATACATACATAGAATAAACAAAGTTGCTGTAGATTCTCATGCAGAAAACTGTAATAAAAAGTCGTGATCTGAGATAGACACAGGTGTGAAAGACTGATTTAGGCAGCTAAAGATTTAGCTAGATCTGTAAAACGAAACAAAAAAATAGATAACTTTGCTGTTGCTGCAACTGCAATCATCAGTAATCCTTCAATACAAATGTAGTTTTCTCTGACCATCTCTTCATTGACATAATCATCAAAAGGCCCTATGCCATCTCTACTCTGGACAGCCGTAAATTATTACAAGAAGCCAAAAAAGTTCCTCCATTTCCGTACATCTTTATTCATCAATCTTCACTTATGTCTTCCAGAAAATTAATTTCAGTCCCTACTGTATTTCATCAAATAGAGTTCTCTCTATTCAGAAATCCTATGCCACACCTTTTCCTAAAACCCAGCTCTTCATCAACAATGAATATCATTATCCACTAATATGGTACTTAAAAATTAACACTTAATTAATTTAATAGTAAAAGAAAAAATAAATCATAATTTCAATCTTACGCAACAAAATACAAGATTCGATAGTAAAGAAAAAGGTAAAAGCAAATAGACGTCCGAGCTCATACGAATAAAATCAGCAAGAAGAAAATCACAAGAGTAAACGAAAAATTTATCAAGCATCATCTCCAGTGACTGACAATTCAATTACGCTCTTATTTTAAATAAGAAGAGTGTTTTAGCTTCCAAATCGGTGAAAAATGCATGTTGATTACTATGGAGACTACATTGTGGAATACTGAAAGTATAATTAACTCATAACTGCTATGTATTGTAAAGACCGTCGGTGGAATAATTAGTTTAAAGGTATAAACAAATAAACATTAAGGTAATTTAGGTATTACCTAAATATAAACATATTTAGGTATAAACCCAACATCTGGCGGTTGGGTACCTGAGGGAGGGTAACCCATTAGGACAACCTTTTGTAAGTGGTAATAAAAACCCTTAAGGACCACCGACAAAGACCGACAAGTGTTTAAACAGGATCCCGAAAGACCTTTTCACACCTTCCACCAGAAATACCTAAGTCTGTACCTGCTGCTTTACCTTGGCCTGGGGGAGAGGGCGTGGTCATCCCTTAGGCTGAGAATATTCAGCCAATCAGGAAAAAGGCTGCCAAAAGAGAGGGGGATGAAAAAAGGTGGGAGATAGAGAATTTGGACTGGACACTTCTTTTTGGAACGGAGAGGAGGACACTTCTTCTGGGAACTCACAGCTGAGAGGAGGAGAAGCGAGGGAGTCGAGGGAGGAAGATGAAGACAGCCGGAGAGAGCAGATGGACGGACTAGACGCTGAAGGAGAGCAGAGACAGGGAATCCAGATATGACGGCTAGAAACACTATGAAGGACCAGCTAAGTGGTAACAAGCATTTAGTTATACTAATGTAAATTTGTGTTGGCAACCATACATCATTAATTAATATAATCAATATAACACATGTAACTTTAATTGAACATCAAGCATTCTCCTCTAGTATGATTCGCAACTATAATTATGTATATAGATTTGTTCCTTATCATTGTATATATTTTTTGGATATTCAAATTTGTAAATATAATAGTTAGTAAACCAACGTAGTACTTTTATAAACATGATACCTTTAGAAAGGAAATCCAATAAAGAGTATATGGTTCAATCTAGGATACTACAGTAGGGGGTCTGTGGTATCTAACATTTCAATACAAATATAAGTATTAAATACATTTTAATACGAATAAATGCGGTTCCTGGAACCCCTTACTCGCCGTAGAAACGCGAGGCCAGGAACATAGCATAACATTAACCAATTAAAACAAATAAAAAATAATCAGCGATTTAAGTTAAATTATAAGGCTTCAAAAACAAAATTAGACTAGAAAAAATTACTATGGTACCTCGAAACAAAGAATTAAATGAACGTTTTCATTATTTTGTAACTTCAACTACGCAGGAGCACATCTAGCAAATTTTATGTCAACTTATTAGTTTCGCTTCATAATCGCCTTATTTATTGAATTATTGAGTGTTACTGAAGTATTGTCTCCCATTTATACAATCATTTTTCAATGTCAAATAAATGGTTGTAAAGGTCAATAGATGCTAAAATTGGATTTCTACGGGAAGTCAGAGTTGCTATGCAAAGGTGGCAGATGGTGGTACAATGGTACTCAGGGATATTAGAGATGTATAGAGAATAGGGAAATAGGAGTAAACGTTGCATTGTAGTACGCCAATGTATTCGAGGAGGAAAGAGGAAAGAGTAGCATCTACAGGGGCGGGGTGGCCGAATGGGCTAAAGTGTGTGCCGCGAGTTTCCTGGCAACCGGATTAGAGATTTGAAAAGATTTAAAAAGTGCGAGTTCGCGTTCCGGTGCCGGAGGGAATTTTAAATTCCCCGCCCTCACCCCTCGGGCCGGGAAAATCCCGTATAACTTAAAAGACGAGGTAGGGAAGAAGAAAAAAAAAAAAGAGTAGCATCTACGGAAATGCAGAAAAAACTACCAAAAAAAGAACGATTTAAGAATTAGAAAATAAGTAGAATATAAGAGCGGTCTAAGTTTCCGTGATAGACCCTTGGAGGCAAACACTATCTAAGGCTCTTTTAATGTCAAAGAGGACACTACAGTAATATTCCAAATCTAAAAAAAAAAAAATTATTTTTTTTTAAATCAAACTTTTCTGAAATACCGACAGCCAGGGAATGCACAGTCGGAAAGTAGAATTTGGATTAAATCATTGGTAGGCGTGAGGGAGAGGAGTGACCCGCGGCGGCCTTTCCTATCTTGATTTTAATATTTATAGCTTAGAGGACGAGATCCCACAACCAGAGTCTCTTATGGATGTTATCGTATGTGGTTGTTAACTGTGGGACATTAAATAATTTGCAAAATAATTTACCAGGGAGCTTTGGAAAAACTTTTTAAACAAAAGTTTATATTTTAGGTAAGTGGGTCTTTTTGGCAATACCATATATCTGTGAAGTGTAGGTCCGAATAGATTTAAATGTAGGAGTTCAAATTCTTGCTTAACTTAACTTAACTTAATCCAGTCCTCTGTTACCGCTGAGCAGTGTGAGGTTCCTTCTTATAGAGCCTGATCCACGAATCTCTATCCTGGACCAGCTGTCTTCTTCTACTCCAGTCCATTCCTCTCCTGTCAAAGGCTTCTTTAACTCCTTCTTCCCATCTTTTTCTTGGTCTTCCCAGTGGCCTCCTTCCCTCCACTTTGACCTCGTAGGTAGCCCTGGCAATTCCGTTTTCAGCCATTCGCGAGATATGTCCAAACCACCTAAGTTGGTTTTCTTGAATTATCTCCTCTGCAGGCCTCAGGTCCAGATTACCTCGTATGGTCACATTCCTAACGCGATCTCTTCTTGTTTTCCTCTCTATTTTCCTTAGATAGCGCATTTCCATAGCTTGGGTTTGGAAGACTCGCTTGCATACGTCAATATAGGGAGGAAAGTATTCTTAAAGATAATCTTCTTAGTGGTCTTTGAGACTTCCTTTTTGTTCAAGAAGCCTGACTTGAGGGAGTAAAAGCATCTTCCTGCCGTCTTAATTCTCTCTTTAATTTCTCCATCCACCCATCCGAGCTCGTTAAGGTGAGCGCCCAGGTATTTAAAATCCTTAACTTCTTCCAGGCGGATTCCACCCAGCCGAACGATCCAGTTTCCTCGGTCCCTTCTTCTCCCAATCCTCATGAATTTTGTTTTCGAGATGTTAATTTCCATGTTTATATTTCTTATCTCAGCTTGAAGGATCTTGAGGTTAAACTGAAGATTACGGCAGTCATTTCCGAACACCACCATATCGTCAGAAAAAGCAAGCACTGTATACTGGACGCTCTGTAGGTTCCTATATCCGAGGTTGTATGGCCTAATTTTCTGTTTTGCTTGTTTTAGGGCAGAGTCCAGCACTATTATAAACAAAGGGGGAATAAAAACAAGGAGTTCAAATTCTAACGTCTTAAAAGATGTGAATATAGTAGTCATAGTATATATGTTTTTGTTAAGTTCTTGATACGTGAGCCACATGTCATTCTTTTGTCAAATTGCAGTCCAAGTTATTGAACTTTATCTGTCTGAGGAATTTGAACATTGACGAGATAAACAGGAGGGGAAGTTTCACGTCGAAGAGTAATATGTTGTGATTTGTTTTGGTTGAGTCGACTTTTCCATAGTTTGCACTATTCCATAGTTACCTAATTTTATTAGGTAATATTCTGTGAATCTGTGAATTGTGTATTGGATTTGGTTGTCTTGTTAACATAGTCTGTGTAGGTCGTGGTCAGATTTTCTAAACTGCTTGAATAATATAATTTCAGAATAAGATTTACTTGAGAATTTCAAGGTACACGATTGATTTATCTTGTCAACGGCAGTATGTAATTTCCTTCAGTTAATTATTCAAGGAACGAACAAGCAAACAACGGTTGCATCAACAGACTGCTGATATTTACCAAGTCACTAGCGAAAGGAAGGGGAGTGACGAAGGAGGGTGGGGAGCAAATAAACCTAGACTGGAGGCAAGAGAGGGCGAGAGGAGTTGGTTTCGGCGAGGGATAGGCTAACTTCCCTCTAATTGGATAAGTTTTGTGACGTCATTATTTAGCCTAATCTCTCATCGTCAGCTCCTACACTACACCAGTGTGTGGCCTCTGCGATAGTTGTCATCTTTACGGCTGTCTGCCCGCACGGAACTCACAAAATATAGAAAATTTCACCTCAAAAAAAACTTTTTTTACTGTTCAATAATTTTTAAATATTAATTTAGTTATTCAACACAATTGAATAAATTTTATATTATATTTAAAGTTTATATTATCAAGAAATATTTTGCATTTATTCATTTCTGGACCAGCCCTTTTCAAATCGGTACCGATAGAACTGAGGTTGAAGCCTCAACAATCTCGATCATTCTGTCTCCAACACATCTTGAGTTGTATCCAGACAGTACTCAAACACACATACAGACATTAAACAGTGAAGACTTAAGGAACGCTGCAGACTATGGCTACTTTTCTTCGAACAATAGTTGATGCTCCATTCTATGTAACCAACAAAATCCTAAGCTATGAACTTAATATTCCATTTGTCCTAGACCTTATCTCTGAAAAATTCAGAATTCCATCAAAATGTGCCCCCCTCAAAGATTTTTATGGCTCAACCCCCTTCTGGGCACTTCTGATATACAATTACTTTTAGTATTATTATTTTTCTGTTTATTTATTGTAAATAGAGTGTGAACGAGCTACTCTTATATCACTATTACTAATTTCCTTAGATGTTACAAATATTTCTGAGTAAAGAACTGAAAAAAAAAACTTATCTACTTAACAAAATTATAAGATAGTAAACAATATAGATCTGCGGAGCAAACATAGGATTTAAAAATAAATAAATACAAATATTTAAAAAATACATTTATAAATACTTGATGAATTTTATACGCACCATGATATACACTGTTATGTAAACAACAGTTTCAACTATTCTCTGATAAAAATAATTGAATAATATCTAAATATCAATCTAATAATACTTCAGAATCCAGGAAATCCAGAAGACCGAGTGCTCAAGAGAGGACCTGAATTATTTTTTTTCTGTTAATTTTTTTTTCAATTAATTGAATAATTTTTATTTTTAAAATTTTAGTTAATTTCGAATTATTTTTCAAGAGATTTAAATAAGATAAAAATAAAATAGCATTAAATTCATAAGACATAAGATATGATTACTCCGCAGTAGTAAATTTCATTCAATTAAATAGATAAATATATTTTAAATGCTTATGGATAGAATCAAACGCTTTCACTGGTTCCATTAATAACTAAGCTACAAAAACAAAACCAAATAATCTAATGCCTACAGTAGATATTTCTAAGATGTATGTACAGAAGCTGATAACAATGACTACAGAAGCAGTTTGGTACAAAAAGTACAGACAGGGTACATCGAACCACACTTACCGCTGGACCCGGTTCTCCCGTATCTCCTTTTTTTCCACGCTTCCCTCGCTTTCCTGGAGGACCTGCAATGTAAGAGAATATTTTATTAGTAAATTTGCAAAAGCTGTATTAGAAATATAATCGTTATATTATAAATATAAGCTATATTATTTATTTTGAGGAGTGGCAAAATAGGACTTTACAATCGGGAACCAAGCGGGCTAAGGAACTTGCAGTATACAATCAAGTTTAAGGAACGTCAATTGTGGTAAATACTTAGTATGACCACCCAAAGCCTCATATCTCGAAATTTTCTCGACAACCACCTCTCCCGAGACATGGGTGTAATTTTTTTTTTTTTTTCCGATAATCCTTCTCCTCGCTATTTCTGGCATACAAAGGGAGGGATTTTTCAATAGGTACAACCAAACCTATTCCAACCAGAGTAGGAAGGTCGAGATTCATTTCATGGGTCCGCTGCGAAATATATTACAAACCGCCAAGGCAAGATTCAAGCCGGCGTCATAAAATTCGAAAATATCAAACGGGAATTGCTCAAATAAGCTCGGACATCACGGCTGAGAGTACTTTGAGACTACAGAAAGGAACAAAAAGCAACCAGAAGGCGTAGAAGTGATGCATGGAGAAAGAAATATAGGTCCTCTTGCAACTGCTCCTCCTGAACAGCCATAATACATGGTTCTAGACAGATTTGTTAATGTCCTTTAACAAGAATGACTCGAAAGAAAGTTGTAAATCTAATCTCGAAGGAATTGGTTATGCAGCTATGAGTTGCCTGCATGGGTTTATTTGGGCAGAGATAGTCTCTATAAAGTGGGTACTCTTAATTAAATACTTGATTAAGGGGAGAAACCTGGCGGATGAGCGTGATATTAGCCCAATCACACCCCTGCATAACTATTGGCCTAGAAGCAGAACTGCCTTACGAAGCAATGAACCTTTTGAGGGGCAGAGTGGCCGAGCGGGCTAACGCGTGTGCACAGCACTGATAACCGAAGTTATAAAGTAAGTACTAGTCTGCGTTCCGGAGCCAGTGGAATTTTTAACTCTGGCATTAATCCCTCGCCCTCATCCTCTGGCCCGGTAAAACCGCGTAAAGCCTAAAAAAAAGGCGAGGAAGGGGAGAACATTTAATTGATTGTAGTAGTACAACTTTCACATGGATTTATTTATCAATAAATTTGTTTATTAACAAAACCTCTTCGGTTAACATATTTCTTGCAGTACAATATGCTTAGTGTTGCCCGTAATCGGTCTTGGTCTTGCAAGACCAAGACATGTACAAAAAGTCGATTTTTTGAATAAAAATTTAATTAAAAAAATTAAGTCGATTTTTTTAATAAAAATTTAATTTAAAAAATAGTTGCTAATACTTGACAATTTTAGTTATTATATGTAAAGAATTAGTATAACCAATATACTTTTGCATTTAAATCTTCTAATTTTTCATTCAGCCTTAGTTAGGTTTCTCTTATCCAAAACATTATAGTAATATCTCAATAGTAATAAGTTAATAGGTAACTGCGAAACTCTTGCGCAAGACCAAGGCTTGTCTCGCATTTCAGCTACACTAATTATGCTTAACATTTATAAGAATAAAATAATGTAAATTTTATTTTAATCTATTTATGACGTCATTTATCAATTACATTACGTATCTGCAACGACAGATATTATTCTATTAACTCCAAATATAATTGAAATATAAATAACACGGTTAGATGTTTGAATAGTTTCACGTTTACTGAACATTTTTACCAGAAAATTATACATAATGTTGCTAATTCTGTATTGAGTAAGTTAGAATTCGTAGCGTTCATTTCCTGGACGGTGGATAAGATTGCCTTCATAATTTAAGGGGGCTGTTAGCAGCAAGTAACTTAATCTCAACTCTGGGTTAATAACTCCAATCAAACAGGCATTTGCAATTATTTTTCAATTACGGAATTTAATTCCTGTTTTCTGACTTCAAGCTCCGAATCGTTTTCTACTACCTTATTTTCGTTTAATATCATATTTATCAATATACAGAGAGATTTAAGATTAAATTAGAAAAAGACCATGAATTGACTAATGAATATGTTATTTAACATATTATAGAGAAATGTTTGTTCATTTAATTTTTCAGCAGAGAATTAAAATATATGCATATATTAAATAAATTGGTAATTTCGATCGATATAGCAATATTTGGACGAATATTAATGGTTAAAAAAATAATAACTTGTTCCCACTAGCAGTAGTATTGCCACTTCTTAAACAACAATATATGTTTTACATACATAGGTATAAATTACAGCTTATTAACCAGTTTTAAGTATTTCTTAAATCTTCGAGTAAGTATACAATAATTATGACAGAAAATTCTGACTTCGCATCATCATAAAGTTATTTTATATTTATCGTTGCTCAAACGATGAGTTTTATTTATCACCTTAGCAGCCTTATTTGCTGCTATCTACAAAAAAATGTATTTTAATTTCTTTATAATAGCATTATCATGTGATAGAGACTAATTTAAATCAGACCATAAAGTTTAACCTGTTTTCAAGGGTGGGCATTATATCCGACCCAAGTTCCCCTATAACAGAAGACTGTTTGAATTTAGTAAATTGGGCAATAAATACATGAAGAGATAGAGTTTGGTCGGAGGAGGTTATAGCAATTTGCATGTGTCAGCGTCCACACACCACCGCGATAAGGGCTCCCCACCCCACTCCTCCATACGGCACCTGTTACTCTATTCCCTAAAATATCTTATTCTCTTATACAATATATATACAAATAATTTAAGTGTAAAACGTACAACGCATGTAAGGAGGGAAGAAATGGCCGGAGGTAAAATAATAATAATAACCAAGTTATAAATGGAAAAAACAAAAAAAAAAAAAAACAAAGCCATGAGCCTCCAACATACTAGTGAATAATTAACTTGCCAACGTTTCTTCAATCGAGGTACCATCAGGGTAGAAAAACCAAGATCACTTATATGCAAAAAGAAATAAAAAAAATACTGTAGTAGACATCTCACGAAGCCATCTAAATATATAGATAGATAGAAAAAAAAAACTTTATTCTGGGACTAAGTCCCTTCAGAATAACAGTAATCTACAAAATAATAGAATATTACTGGCCTGTATGTTTGAAACAATAAATAAAATTGATAAAATAAAATAAAAAGTAAAGAAAACCTTAGGTGCACAGGCTATATACAATACAGATAAAACTATGTACAGAGCATTTAAAATTATGAACAAAACAATTAAAACTATGAACGAATCACTTGAACTATGAACAAAATTATATATAAGGGTTGAACAACATAAACATACACTTTGAGAAATGAAGAACGAAAAAGAGATACAGTGAGTTCATTTCATAAAATAAAATAAAAAAACTTTACTTGAATATATATATAAAAATAAACAGTTAATTATAATTGATTAAAAAAAAAAAAAATTATGTATTGAAATTCCTACGTCGATAGTAGGAAATGCATGTACTATCTCTAGTATCAAGTATTATGATTATATGATTGCTACACAATACATATATAATATTAATAGTTAGCTGGTATCTGACTGTTTTTGGAACAGGAATTGGAATAGGAGGTTTTTTGAATGTGTATAGGGAAGGGGCATGTCGAATTTTGATCGTGAGGGAATTTATACTCAAGGGGAATTTATAAGGGAAATATATACTAAAGGAAAGAGAAGGTTCTATTAACAACAAATCAGGAAGGTTATATTGAACAGCTGATTAGACGTAATACAAGGGGGAAAAGTATAAAAATATATAATTATACAAAACTGGTTAAATTTTTTGTTTTTCGTTAATTTATAATAGAGTTCTGAGAGCACATTCACACCATATTTACAAATAATAATAATAATAATAATAATAAAAGTCTAATAACCCGAAGATTCGATGCCGACACCACCAATCGCTTATAACACACCTCCCTCCACCGGTCGCCGTCCAAACCCTGTGCCTTCAGATCGGCTTTAATGCAATCTTCCCACCTTCGCTTCGGTCTACCCCTCGGACGCCTACCATTCGGCACAGCAAATATTAACCTTTTAGGAATTCTCTCGTTACTAAGCCCAACAACTTTACAAGCCCATTTGATTCTCCGCGAAGAAATTACCTCAATTATATTACCCGGATACAGTTCACGCAATTCGGCGATATTTACAAATACAAAAAAAATAAATAAATAACGTAATAAAAAAAATAAGGTAAGGTTAAATTAAACAAATAAATCAAATAAAAACTCAGAGTAATATATGACATATATTCCCAACAAAACATACACGGCCATTCCAAAAAAAGTATTACTAAAATGAGCATAGAAAAGTGGAATAAAGATTAAAAAAAACAAAAACATAAATATATTTTATTTATTTATTTAATTAAAAAAGTTTTGTCTTATTTTATTTTAGTTATACTTATACTATCATCTATTTCTTCTTGTTAAAAACTATATATAGGTATTTAGAGTAAGGACTATATTATATTACAATAACCATTTAATTATTTATATATATATATATATATATATATAGCTTTGAAAATAATTATTTAGGGTAGTTTTATTTCTCATGTAGTATTGGGAATGAAAGGGAGAGGAAGAGAAGGAGAGAACAAAAGGAATAAAAAAAGTCTAAATTTGATATATTATTAAATCATTAATTAATTTCCAGATATACACTTTTTTATATTGTTTTGGGTTTTGGAAATAATTACTTATTTATTCTATTTACTTATTGGGAATATATATATATATATATATATATAGCTTTGAGAATAATTATTTAGGGTAGTTCTATTTCTCATGTAGTATTGGGAATAAAAGGGAGAGAGGAAGAGAAGGAGAGAACGAAAGGAATAAAAAAAGTCTAATTCGATATATTATTAAATCATTAATTAATTTCCAGATATACACTTTTTTATATTGTTTTGGGTTTTGGAAATAATTACTTATTTATTCTATTTACTTATTGGGAATATATATATATATATATTTTTTTTTTCTTTTTTTCTTTCAATTTGTTTTATTATTGGATTATATTGGGAGGTCATAATAAGCAATAGGAATCTACCTATGTATACGTATTTATATCTTTATTTATTTATACTTTGTTTATGGTTTGATTGCCATTCAATACTAAGAACTACTAACACCAAATGGGTCAAACCCCATGGCTAAAAGATGTACATATTAGCCAATAAACTGTCTATCTATTTATATATTATAATATTATAATTATTTATATATTTATAATATATATATATATATATATATATATATATATATATATATATATATATATATATATAAATACTCTGAGTAGCTTAATATATGTGCTAGTGGACGGTGCTGAGACTGTCGGTGTGTACCTGGCCTGATCGAAGCTCTATTTTTTAATATTTTAGCTTTGAAGAGGATCCCATGGTTGACTAATAAAAAGAAAATACCGGGATCGAAACGTCAATAAACAAAAGAAATGAACATTCAATAGTTTATTAAATAATAATTAAGTGACCTTATTCCCAATTAAACAGTTAAGTTTAAATTTAATACTCAAAGGTCGATTAAGGAAAAGTTGTAAATATATATATATATATATGTATATGTATATATATATATATATATTTTAGTTATACTTTTTCCCCTTGTATTATGTCTTATCAGCTGTTCAATATTTTTTTTTAATATATTTTTTTGAGGCTTCAACCACTAGGGTGGTCATCATTGCCTTATTTCCATCGAGAACTAGATTGTATTCTCAAGTTAAGAATATTTCAGAAAAGAAAATAGTTTATCAACCTCATTCGTATTGTCCTGTAAAATTCAGTGTAGATCGTTTGTCAAGTGACAAGAGAGTCTAAATATTTCGTAAGCACTGCATTCTGTTAAAATGTGTTTCACTGCCAGAGGAGTCCCACAGGTTTAGCATTAACATATTCGCTCACACACTTCCGTGAGAAACCTTTGGGGTATTTTTAAATGATTACCTGTCTGGAATAATCCCATTTACCGAATTCCTGGAATTCCGCCATTTTGTTTTCTTTAGAACACGTCAGCTTCTAGTTTCCTATCTTTTATTTTATTCTAAATCAAATTTTATTTTTAAAGGACTGAATGCACCAGAATAAAATTTAATTTTCTTCTTCTTCTTCTTACACAGATCATTAATTGTACCACCTCCTCTCATGCAAAACTTTTGTTAATAGTTAGTCCGCGCTTGCCGTCAGTTACCAAGGTTATTAATTTTATTTATTGTCGTTCTGTTCAACTGCTTTACATTAATGCTGACTTTTGTTTTGTCTATATCAATTATTAATCGAATTAAATATATTCTATTACATTATCTGTCAATTCTTAATCAGTATATATTTTTATATATTCATAATTGACTCTATATTAGTAATTATTATTTTTTATGTCAAAAGACATTTAATTTTTTATATTTCATTAACCGTAACCTTGAACCCTTAAAATATACTACATTATTTTGTGTATTGTTCATTTAGCCCTGATAAAGTGGTCCAAAAGGTAAGTTTTAATAAATAGTTTATAATACTGGAATTTTTTTTTTCTATAACCATCAACCATAAGGACCAACTTCTTCTTAATTTTATTTTTATTTTTTTTTATTATCTGTTGTGTAATAGTAATAAAGTAGTAGTAATCTGTTGTGTATTCAATTCAGTACATTAATGATACTTTATGTAAATAGTGATAAGAAATACTTTATTATATATATATATATATATATAATATATATCCATCGCTTCCGCCATCTCCTACCCATCTCCACACGTAGACTCCTAGTAACTTCCCTCATCTTCCCCCACCTTGATTACGGCTGCGTGGTGTACGGTGGCCTCTCGGCAGAACTCGGGGAGAGACTGAAAAGAATTATGAATGCCTTCGTAAGATTTGTCATAGGGCCCTGAGGTATTCCCGTGTTTCGCACCACTATGCTGAATTAGGATGGCTCTTCCCTTCCTTCCGAAGACAATATTTCCTAGGCACATTCCTTTACCAAATAATCAATAGTCATCGTCCGTCCTACGCATACAATCTCATACAATTCAAATCATCTATCCACACCCTCTCCACAAGATCTCGTCCTTCTGACCTTTACACTCCTTTCCACAGATCTGCATCATTTAAACATTCCTTCGTTGTCCGTTCCACTGCATTCTGGAATTCCATACCACTAAAAATCCGCCATGCATCATCCTTATCCACCTTTAAAACCCTCTTATTCCAATTCCTCTTCACAATCCAATCAGACGCTGGTTAAATACATACTATGTTATAAGGATTTAATTTTCTTTAGACATTATTTTTTTTCTCTTATTTTTTATTGTTTTATTCTGTGTTGAACGTGAATTTTCATCACCACTCACTAAGCATTGTGAGTAGATACAATTTGTTTTCCTTAAGTTCTAATTTGTTATTCATGGAATGTATTTCAGTGAAATGTATTTTATTTCTAATTATCTTCAACATACTTCTCGCTATGTGTATATATATACTTTATTTTATTTTCTCTTCTCCTAATCTTTACGCATAATCACTTAAATATCTAAGGGAACATATGTATATCATTATTTGTTTTTTTATATATTTTTTTGTTTTAGTTTTTACAATTTCTTT